TCCCCGTCCCCCCCCCCCCCCCCCCCCGTCCGACCGCGCGCACTGGCGCGGCCAGGGACGCGATCCTTCTCGATATCTCACCGAGGGCTGCAGCGAAGGCGAAAAGGGAAAGGGACGAAAAAGAGAGTTTAGTATGAACACCACAAAAAGAAAACGAAGAAAGGAAAACCAAGGGCGGGAAATAGCGGGGATGCAGACATGGAGACCGGTCTGGATCTGCTGCGTTGCTATCAACACGCCCCTCCACCCTTTCGATCGCACATGGCCTTCTGACTTGTCGATTTCCGTTTCCTTTGCAGTTTTTTTCTTCTTACTTTTTGCTTCTGTTTTCCTTTTTGATTTTCCCCCTTACTTTTCAACCGACGTTCTTTTCCTATCTATTTGAAACAGCCTGCTCACATATCAGAACTGACGGCAGGGGAGGGGGGAGACCCAGGGGTGCCAGGTTACAAGGTTGTCCCACACACCACGCAACGGAAAACCCTGGATCCCTGACGGGCTTGAGGGCGGGCACCCGGGACCCGCTTCCGGGGCCCGCTTCGGGGCCCGCTTCCGGGGCCCGGTGATGTAAGATTCGCGACCATCACCGGACAAACTGCCCCAAAGGCCCCCAAGGACCGCTGTCACTTGTCACAATCCGGCCCAAGTGCCGCTTTGCTGTTGGCCCAGACTCTCTCACTCCCCTCTCTCTCTCTCTCCACTGCGGAGGGTCCGTCTGTCTCCTCTCTCCTCCCTCTCCCTTTTCCATCTCTTTGCGTGTTTGCGTGTGCCGGGTAACCTTTTGTCACAATTCAAGACACACCCCCTGCGACTGGGGGGCGACTGCGTGATTTCCCCCTAGTATCTCGTGTCCGTGCCGGGGCCCCTTCGCCCCTCACGCTGCTTCTCCCTCCCTACGCGGGTCCCCAAGGGATGGCGCTCCGTCATGAGACGATGCGATCGGTGGAGATGCCGTCAGACGGGTGGTGGGACATGGGGTGGGTGGCTCGCTCGTAAAAAAAAAATTAAAAAAAAAGGAAGAAACCCACAATACACACACACGTAATCACCGCGAGAAAGGAGAAGAAAGGGTGGGGTGGAGTTCTTTGCTCGTCTATTATCCCTCGCTTCTGGAAGGAATGCATGCGAACTACACTGCACCCAGGGGGCCCGGCCAGACGAGTTGTGTTTTTTTTTCTTCTCCTTCTCTTTCTCCCTCTCTTTCTTTTTCGATTCTTGATCTCTCATCCATATTTCCTCTTTTGATCACCATTCGCTAGCCCTCGCCGCATCTAGCATTATCCCGACGAACTGCTCCACCGCACACCTGAAGCTCTCGCGGGGCCTCCATTCCACTCTGGCACGGCTTGGAGGAGGGCAATACGAAAAGGAGTGGAGGATGATGGGTGGAGTTGTGTGTCATGGCCGGTATATTGGATATAGTTGCCTTTCGAGTTTTCCTTTCTCTGGATTTACCTTGTCACCGCATGAAAAGAATAACGCGCACTCACAACCAATGGGCCTTTACTTCAGAGACTATTTCTCCACAACAATTCATCGCACAAACTTATTTTTGTATGCAATTTAATGGGCTGCCATTTCCCCTTCCCTTTTGCTGTTTTTCCAGTATTTAAATCATTCTTGTTATAGTATTGAAGCACTGCAATTGATTGAGTTGGTTTGGTTTGGTATTTTTTGCGGTGGTTGCGAGTGCACGTTATTCTTTTCAGGTGGTGCTTGTCAAACAAGCTCCGGCTATTGAGCCACACATGGCGGGCTTGGAGGGGGGGTCGAGTGCCAAAAGAGGCAACGCGGCCCCCTCCTTGGGGCTGAGGAGAGAGCTACTAGCTACTAGCTACAAGCGCGCGAATAGGAAGAGAACGCGCCAATGGTGTCTCTCCTGCGCCTCTTGCGCCTCCGAGTGCTTGCTGCGTTTTTCTAGACACCCAGGGGCATCGCCGATCTCCTGTTGTGCGATCGGACCAATACTCGACAACCTCTCTGTCGGCTACGGGCCTTGGTAGCACGATGATGGTGTTACACGACCTTTTTTTTTTCTTCTTCTTCTTTCCTTGCTTGCCAATAACCTGCCACCATACCAAAAAAGGCGGTGCGCAGGAAAGCACGCATGAGCACGGGTATGTGACGGATGGGGAGGGAACGATAAGCGGCCGGCAATGACATGCCCCCGATGCGCACAACGCACACTGGCAGCTCTTGTTTCTTCTAGGTGATAATGCAGGGCACACGTTACAAGCTTCCTTCTCTTCCAAAGTTGCGGTCTGGATCGGGGCGTTGCTACTCTACGCGCGGCTGTTACGCAGGTGTGCTGCTGCTCGTGTGGTGGTGTGGTGGTGTGGTGTATCTGTGCGGTGTGTGTAGGTGGACTCTCTAAATCTCGCAGATGCGGCTGAACTCTACTCCAGCCCCCCCCTCCAAGCCCAGGAGCGCAGACAACTAACCCTGTCGGAATTAACTATTCCCTCCCGATGCCTGCTGTGATTGACGGCGTGATGTGGATTGGTTTGTGCCTTTGCATTGTTGGTCTAGCACACCCCTCATCTGGTCCAGGGTGCTGCTCACCTGCCCCTGCTGGGCACATACCTACCACCTAGGTACGAACGGCGCCAAACCCCAAGGTGCCGTGGTACCGATCTGAGAAAAGGTTGCGTCAAGTCCGCCCTGCTCTTTCCGGTCCCCCTGTTCCGATGCGATGGAGTAGGTGTGGTGACACCGGACCAAGAAGAAAAAAAGCTCGGTTGGCTGGTACCCAACTTGTTTGCTGTGCGCATCAAATCACCGTCGAGAATAAAACAAGCACAGCACGTGAAGTAACTAGGGGAGGATGGGACCACTCTCTGCCTCTGCCGGGGGGTGCGTGCTCTTATGGAGCCCCCAAGCTCAAACGGACAGGGCACGGCCGAATAGAGACAAGAAAAAAAGGGACCGTCAGAACGACACATGGTCAGCCCAAGACGAGATGAGACGAGATGAGACGAGACAGCGTTGGCAACGGCCGTCTGGTCTGTTCTGACTGCAGCTGACAACTGTCATCCGCCCGAACTAACGTAATCAAGCACGCCCGACACCTGCAAGCTAAGGGTCGTCGTAGATTTGGGGTTGCATCTCGACCATGAATGTCTCGGCCAAGATCTCTCCTCTTGTTTTCTTTGCCCTGTTGCAAATCTGCCTGTTTCCTAACACGGCCCATGTGAGTCCTGCAGTCATTTTGGCTACGGCCTCCAGGCGGGGACACAGCAGCGTGGTGATTTGTCGATCTTGCACCGGGGCCTTTTTATTTTTATTTTGGTTGTTCCTTCCTTTCCTTTGCTGCTTTCTTTTCGCTGCACGTCGGTGGAGAACAACAGCACACACACCTCCCACCTCGCAACTTCCGCGGGAACAACACGCGAAACCGAGCAAGGACTTTCGGGTGGCACAGCACCACGGGTAGGCAAGGGGTACAGGGCAAATCTCGAATCCGGAAAGATGGGAGAGAAGGAAAAAAAGAAAGGAGCAGGACGTGACGAGTCTGGCTTGTTAATCATCTCCTTGGTACCTTCCTCCGCGTTCGCCTGGGCCTGCCCTTTCCAGCTTGCTTTTCGTCCCCACCCCACCCAGAACCAACGAACCATCAAATCCCATTGAGGGCATGGTGGTGAGGTTGTTGCCCTGTGCTCTTGGGTGAGAACCCCAGCAGTGATCGGGCCCCCCGCGCGCGCGCGCGAGCACCACCAACCCACCCAGCCCACCAAGGGTTAGGTTAAATACACATCGTAATGCGCCGCCCTGCCCACTCTGCCCTGCCCTGCCCTGCCCGCCCCCTCCATCGGGAGGGAAGGGTTACGCCGATGTGACGGCACGGTACTTGGGGCATCTCGGTCGCAAGGTCTACCTAATCCGACCTGGCGCCCCGAACCTGCGGAGCCATCGCCAAGCACGGCCTTCCTTCCTCAAAGGGCCCCAGACCGGCCCTCTGCCCACCCAGGGGCCACGCGAGGGTTGGGAGGCAGGGCAGATCGAGGATCTCCAGGGCCGGGGACCAGGCCCATATGGACCTGCCGGTGCGGCACATCCGAGTCTTGGTAAATCTCCGCCTTGATGGTGATGATGGCGGGATGGAAGGGAGAAAAAAGAAAGAACAACAGAGTTTTCCTCGTAATCCTCGTGTCGCCGCCGTCCCCTTACCCTGCCCCGCCCTGTCCTGGCCCTGTCCTGGCCCTGTCCTGGCCCTGTCCGCCAGCTCTGTCAACACCCGGCGACTCAGCCCACTCTCGCTGACCGGATCTGGCGCATCATGGCGATTTGGCTCGGCCGAGCTCCAACCCCCTGTTCTGCCTCCTTTCTCCTTCTCTCCATCCCTTGCGTCCTTTTCCTTGATGTCACCGTTCCCCTCGGTTAGATACTCTGGTCTGGGGACCCAGCAACATGCACCCTTGTTTACCCTCTCCAGCCGCTGCTGACTTGGGGGAGGGGAACGCCTCCATATTTTTAGCTTTTTGGTACCTGGTAGGTAGGTGAGAGGGCATTTGCGAGATGGGCCACGCCCCCCTTACCTGCCTCCCTACCCAGGCAAGGTACCTGGTACCTTATCCGCATCGCTGTCGCATCATGACAATGCCGCAAACACGCAAGACAAGACGGGCCGAGGCCGCGCGCGAGGGCGGGGTTCGGCTGCCCGGCGCCGGTTTGGCCAGGTATCCTGTTTTCTTTTTTTTTTTTCTCTCTTTTTTTCCCCTTGAACGTTTATCTATTTTGGACTTTTTCCCCTCTGGTGCCGCTTTGGGAGTGCCAGCCATTCTGAATCTCGCACACCGGCTGCGGGGGACACCTCCGCTGCGCCGACAAGGCGCCTCTTCTCCTTCCCTCACACCGGTCCCGCGACCTGAACCCCACGGCAGCAAGGACAACGCCCTCGCCGGGGTGGTGTTGCAGCACCACCGATGAGCCCGCCGTCCAATGCAAGATGTACACGGCTTGAAATGTCATGCTTGGTCACCGGGGCCTCACATACCGGTGTCCGCTTGGCACATGTGCGGCATATTGAGGCAGTGGAGGGGAAGAGGCGGTGGGAGAAATGGTGTGTGTTGACGTGTATTTTTCTCTCCCTCACGCCGCCAGCCAAGGCCCGGGACCTTTCCATCTCCATCCCGGGTGCTCCTTCATCTCGAGGGTAGATAGAGGTACCTACCTAACAACATCGCGGCCTTGTCTTGCCCCACCCTGCATCGTCTCCCACACCCTCCTCGCGCATCTTCCACACCGGTCTGTCGATGCGCCCGCCCACAGGACAGCGAAAAAATGCTGCCTGGCCGCATACCGCCTTTGTCCCACCCCCCCCTCGCGGGTACCGGCTCGCTCTATGGCCGCCAGAACAGGAGCCCCGGGACGCGAGTGGTGATCTCTGTCTCCATCTTCCAAGTTGGCAGCATCCTCGGCTGCGACGTTGACCAGGCCTCATACGGGCTGTTGAATGGACCGTCTCCCTTATCTCATACCTGATGCGGGCCTCATTTTTGGATGGAACAGTCTATTCCGCGGCCGGACTCCGATCTCCAGTTTCGCCTGGGTTCTTTGGTTCGTACCGGTTTTCGTTGTGCCATCCTGCACAGCATCGACCGCTTTATTCACCTTGTTATTTTTCGCCCATGCCATCCTGCACAGCTTCGACCGCTTTATTCACGTAACATCGCTCCACGCAGCGTTACCTCGCCATCTCCCTTGTTTCGTTGAGGCTGCGAGCTGGGGCAATGGCACCCCGGCACCCAGCCCTTGGCATTATGGCGCCCCAAGCGAGCGCGAGCTGAACAAGGCAGGAAAGAGCGAAACCCGGAGAGCGAGGCCGGGCTGAGGTAGCACCTATTGACTGGATTACCTACCCCAGACACCTGTTCGTCGGCTTGTGCAGGCGCGTCTGTCAGGGGACATGGGAAGGACTTCAGCCGGCGTGTCCATTGGCCAGGGTCCCTTCCCCAGGGAAGGGTGGGGAAGGGTGGTACCTGGCGCTGTAGCCCCAGCATCTGCCCGGACTTATACGTGCCATCATCAATGGCACCCAACGCTTGGCGTGGCCTTGGTGGACAACGGCACATCACGAATCCCGGGCGTGGGGGGACTGTGTCATTCATTGCGCGCTGACTCAGGGCTGGTATAGGAGGAGCATGGTCAGGTGTGTATATTGAAGAGCGGGCGGTTGAAACACACGCACAGCAAATTCGGTGGGAACTTTTCAGGTTATTGATGAGAAGATTGGAATTGTCATGGACCAGAATCTTGGGCAATCAAAAAAAAAAAAAAAAAGGCCCAAAAAGAGGTCCGCGCCGCTGGGCTATGTGTGTATGTGTGTGTGCGGAGGGAGTTAAATGCAGGAAGGGCTTGTTGACGGGAACGGAAGGCGCATCCGACTCGGTGCTCGCCCACCATGTTGTGGTCGATCGGGGTCCTGCCTTTCGATTCGATTGTTTTTCTCCTTTCGCTAATCGGAGCAGGAACGACGCACGCTCTGCCCCCCCAAACGCCGCTGCCGCCTGAGGGTTGCTGCCGTCTGCCGTTCTTGCCGTTATCTTGTTGCCGCTACTGCTGCTGCTGCTGCTGCTGCTGCTGCTGATGACTGCCAACCCCGTCCTGCAGTACGCCCATTAACGGGCTTCTTCTATTACCCATGCCAAACTCGGGATTTTTGGTCGACCAGTCCCGTTCCTCCTCTCCACCTGCTCATCTCCCTGGGCTGCGGGTGGTGTTCCACCGAGTGAGTGCCCGCTCAATGTCCCGGGTCCTTAAAACCTCAGCCGCAATACCCTCAACCACGATTAGGGGGTCGCCCAATCACAGCCTCGGCCTGGCGGCATTTTGTGCTCGACCCCTATAGCCGCGGTGGCTATTTTCGAATCGTCGCTATCGCCCCTGACCCGCCTGCTGCTCCTGTTGGCTGAGGCCTGCTCCTGTTGGCTGAGGCCTGCTGGCCCTAATGTTCTTGCTCTTCATGCCTTCGTTTCGGGGGTTTCCCTGTCCAGGTAGGTAGGTAGAGGTAGGTTGTTAGGTAATCCCCCCTCTCCCTTGGGTCCAGATCTCGGCACACGTCCTCGCCCTCACCTCTCCCGGCCGAAACGACGCTATCTATCCCCGCCGCATGCTGTAAGGGGACGGGAAAGCGGCACCGCTCAACCGCACACATACGCTGGGACGCGCCATTGAGCAACAAACATTTGGCTGAGCGCTCAGCATAGATGCAGCCTTGGGGCTTGCAATCAAGCTGTCCTAGTGGCCCGTGTGCCTGATATTGATCAAGACAACCCCTGTATTTCCGCCTCTCGCCATCTGCTTCTTTTTCAGCCAAGCTTTCTCTAGGCGTGTTCAATCCCGCGGCCTCTGGGCCTATTTATTACTTCTTGCCTCCACCGCGTAGCCGAGTTCTCGGTTGATGGGACTAACGGGCAGGTGGGCAGCATTAGCGGGCGCTACCTTGTCTTGCCCGCTTGTCTTGCCTGCCGGAGGCACCCCTAACCGTCCCCTTTGGTATTGGCGGCTCTCCCGCCTGCGAGGAGGACAGCCTAGACCCCCCATAGACATCAAAAGGCAGCCTCGCTGTTCTCTAGCGTCTACTCCACCGGGAGGCGTCCTCGGCGCCCAGGCCTCATTCCAAAGGCAGGTGGTCGTGCACCTAGTGGCGTATCATGTGGCGACGCGTCCCTGCGAGGGTCAAGGCCGCGTCCGAGCTCGGCTGATCGGATGGCAGGAAACGAGGGCGAGGGTGGGATTGGGCAAGGTTGGGCCACTACCGCGTCGACCTGCTGGCGATCCCATCTCCGGGATGGCGATAGACCACGGAGCTATTCGGGAAGCTCCCCGAGATAATGACATGCTTGGTCCGACGGCTCCTCAAAGAGGACGTAGCGGCGTCGGTTGGGTGCAGGACAAGGATGCTGATGCGCCTGGCCCTGATACCAGCGGATAGGGGTCTCACGTCTTTGACCTCTTGCCTGATGCCACCCCCCGGGGGTTTCTGGAGTGCATTTGCTTTTTGCCTTGGTGTGGTGTGTCCTCCGTTCTTTAAATTTGCTTCTGTAGCAACAACTCCCGATGATAAGCCCGTCTCAGCTAGCCGAAACAATACTTCTTAGTCGCAACGAAAAGGGTGGAAACAGGAAAAGCTGGGCGAGACTCTGTCGATCCGCAAGAGTCCTGATTACCCCTCAGCGCATCGGTCTGTTCGTCCCCCTTCATTTTTTTTTCCCCGGCCTCCTCTCCCTTTTCGCTCTCTTTGTGCCCCCACACGCCGCGCGGCTTCGTGCTTTCTTTGAGACAAGATACGCGTGCCGTTGGGTGACGATTCATGTCTTGCGACATGTCCCCTCTCGGCGGTCCTTGATACTCGTCCTACACGCCCACATGGCCCATATTAGGATTTGGGCACGCTCCCTTCTTTTTGATACGCCCAGAAGACGGGCGGTCAACCTTCCCGCCGCGTAAAAGACATCTGCTACATGCATGCATTACATTCTGTTTCCGAGGCGCTCGGACGGGGCCCAGAGTGCACAAGTGCCGTTTCTCCCTCGTCGTGGCGGTGCTACCCCGACCTCCGGCTGCCACCCCGTGTTGGTATGCCTCGCTTAGGTAGGCATGCAACGCTCCAGATTGGGGGAGGGGGGCTCCCCTTTTGGCGACGCTGCGACGCTGCCTGCTTATCGGCCGCGGCCATGATATGCTGTCCGCGTGTATCTTTGCCCCCGTGGAGATGTCATGTTTGATATAGGGCTGTGGCTTGTTGCGTCACGGAGATGTCCGTCTGCTGCAACCGCGGCCAAAAAAAAACAAAAAAAAACGCCGCTGCAACCGCACCTCTGGATGGCCCCCGAGCCAGGTGGTGTGCATGTGATCCGAGAAACACGACGCCCGCTGTATTCCCGGAAACGTCGAGGGGGGGTGGGTGGGTGGGGGGCCGTCTTCGCGGAGAGCCCAACACCTGGCATGCAGACTATACTTGATGGGGTACCTGATACCGACCAACCCCTCGGCATACTATACCATCGGCGTAACACACAGGCGGAATGGTCATGCCATTTGGGGGGGCGAAGGCCAGAGCGGGAAGCAACTCGAGCTCTCCGCATCATCTAGGCGCTCACGGCCATTGCAACACCACCACCGCTCCCTCCCCCAAGCCCGTCTGGTTTACCGGCGCGTGCCGTAGAGCCGCGGCCTCGGTGGGCCGGCGACAGAGAGGTGTTGTGTGGGAGGGAAGATCCCATAGGCGGGCATATCCTACCTCTTTGAGGGGGTGCTGTCGCGGACGGCGAGTGAAAGGGCGAAGCAATCAATGAGCAGACTCTCCTGACGTCAAAGATGGGGAGAGAGAAAAAAGAAAAGGTCGGCAACGGCGCCGGGAGGGGGCAAGTGGTGTGATTTCTCCAAGCTGATCTACGATGCATTACCGTTCGGGACCAGGGAAAGGACGGGTTTAGGTTGATCTGAGGCAGACCGACGGCGTATCAAGCCGTCGTGGAACCACACCACACCAAAGGCACCAGAACCGCGCACTGCACGCCATGGCATGTTGCCGGCCGCGGCCGACCGTATTGGGAGAAAAGGAAGGGGGATGATGCTTCTCTCTTTCTCTCCTTCTCGCACAACATGTATAATCTCGCAGTACCTCCCCAAACAAGTAAACTCCATCTTGGCAACCACCAAAAAAAAAACCCCGTTTCTTGCGCCACCCACCACGGCAGCTCGCAACCCCCTACCCCCCTTATCAACCTTGGCCGGGCGCGGCCCATAGGGGGAGGTAGTACTTTACATTCTCGTAGACCAGAAAGGTGACCCAGGTGGCGGGCAGGACCCGGACGACGCCCGGGACCAGACCGCGGTAGAAGCCGCCGAGGCCCTCCTCGCGCCACAGGCGGCGGGCGACTCCGGTGATGCCGCGGCCGAAACGGGCCTCGGCGTCGTAGTTCTGCAGCCGGCTGCGTAGGACCTGGTACGGGTACGTGGCCGCGCCGGCCGTCAACTTGGCCGCCGTCGAGATGACGACCGTGGCCTCGTTGCTGATGGCTGTTGCCGCCGCGTCGTCGTCGTCGTCGTCGTAGTCTCGGCGACCGCCCGGCGGCCGCCTCCGCCTCCGGTCTAGGTAGACGCGCTTGGCGGGCTCGTAGACGGCAAACTGCACGGCGCCGTGGCTGACGCCGAGCAGGCTGATGCCCAGCCCGCGGTAGAAGCCCGCCGCGCCCTCGCCGCGCCAGATGCGGGCGGCGCCCTCGCGCATGCTGGGGTAGGCGCCGGCGCTGCCGCGGTCCGACGACAGCATGCGCGTCTTGAGCACCCAGACCGGGTTCGTCAGCACCTGCACGCCCGCGCCCGCCAGCGCCGAGCTGGCAAAGTAGTCGGCCGGCGTCAGCTGCTGCTGCTGTTGCTGCTGCTGCTCTTGATCGTCACGACCCTTGAGCAGCACCACGGCGCGCTCGCACCGGCTCTTGAGGAAGAAGAAGGACGCCCAGCTGGCCGCGTTGCCGACCAGGTTCGGCGTCAGGCCGCGGTACAGCGCCGCGACGGGGCTCTGTGCCCGCACCAGCGACCGCAGCAGCGCCACGGTGGTGAGCCGCGGGGTCGCCGGCCGTGGCGAGCCTGCTGCCGCTGCCGCTGCCGCGGTGGCGATGCTGCTTCGGTGGACTTGTTGGTTTGCCGGTCGGGTCAGCACGTGTTTTTCGGATCAGGGGTAAAGGCAAAGAGAAGCGAGTATATAAAAAAAGACATACTCTGCATGCGCGTCTTCACAATGTCGAGCGGGTGCACGACGAGCGTGGCGACAGTGCCAGCCGAGAGGCCCGCCATCGTCTCGATCAGGGCGGGAGAGAGACCACCCGCATCTTTGGCCACGCTCATCAAAAAAAGGCGGCACGGTTATCTCTTGTTCAGGGCCTCTCCTTAGGCATTTTCACCGGCAACCGGATCGGGTTCGATGTCGAGCGAGGTGTGGACGAGAGAAGCTTGAGCTGCATTGCAGAGCCTCAATTTCGCCACCATGAGAAAACCGAAAATCTTGCTGGTCATGTCCACAATCTAGTGCCTTTCAGCCTCGACAACCACGCCCCAACACCCCATCAAATGTCCGATTATATATGCCACCAACACTATCTGTAATAAAATGCGTCGAGGGAGAGTTCTTTTGTTATACAAATATCGGTCGCCGCCTTGGAGCTCGTGACAGCTCTACACACTATATTCACGTGACAATTTGTACATCCAAGCCCCGTACAAGCGTGGCCAAGCTCATCATCGTACAATTCTCTTCAATGGGTATCTAGTCTCAAGCCATGCTTGTCCTGGGAAGATGCCCTGGGAAGATTCCCTGCCGTCTCCGCGGCGAAATATCAGGATGCTATCATAATAGGTGCCCCCAAAGTATCCCATCCATTCATGTCATATCCCACCAACGCCTAGCCTATATTACGAGCCCCCATCTCAATCCATAGTGTCGTAGCGTTTTTATCTATGCGAGGGGCGAAAGAAGCCTGTCGGTCCGTTAGTTATGCTGCGCTCGGGTTTATCGGGACTGGATCCCGTTGACGTACTTGATGACCGATGGCCGAGGCTCGCTCCGAGTGTAGCCTAGAGATAGACATATAGTGTTAGGCCTAGTCAAATCGAGCGTCGGTACCGCCTGACGGCGACATCACCATCTATGCGAATAACGAGGAGGGGTTCCCGTCGTACCGAGGTAGAGAATCAGGGGCAGGTAGCCGTAGTGGATGACAACGCGCGAGACATCGATGAGCTTCCCGATGCGCTCCTGTGTGTGTTGACCATGTGAGCCGCTGTCCCGTTTCGGAAGATCCCTCCACGCCGTTCCCGGGATTGCGACGGACCTTGGACTCCTCGGAAAGGGTGAGCATTTTGGGCCGACGTAAGGAGGGTGTACAATGTCGATGCTGACCGGGCTTCACGCGTTAGCAACTGGATTAGTGGGGTCCATCGGAAGGTGCCTACATTGGATGTTGAGGGCGGTGGGTTGCTCGAGATGTCGCTGGCGCGGGGGCAATGGTGGTGATGATTGTCGCCCAGCCGAAGCTCAAATCCTCAAAATCGCAATTTTTGACCGCAAAGGTGGGGACAGCCGGGCCCGGCGGCGGCAGGTACAGGATAAAGTGGAACTCGGGCTAGAGACGCCCCGGGTGCAAGAGCTTGGTCAGCTTCTGGTGGCCCGACTTTGAAATTTGGCTGGAGCTGGCTGCTGTTGGCTGCTAAACCCACGCCGCGGCTCAGTCTAAGCGCACCCTGTCAAGCTCCCAACCTCGCGTCGCTTCAATTGAATCCAAAAATTCGCTGCAAAAGCGCGACGGCTTTCAACACCACCTCAGCCAGCAGCATCGATTTCCACCGCCAACGAGAAGCATCTGCCCTTAGCCGAATGACACACTTCTCCCCTGTACCGCATAGCATTAACTGCAGGGAGCTCGGGTTGTCCAGTCGCGCTCCCTCGAGAGCTCACCTCGGTCTTTGCGCGCGCCGACGTCGAGAGTTGCATTTTGCCGAGGGCATCACCGGTCCTGCCCCGAGCCGACACAACCACCCAATAGACGGACAAGATGGCGAACCGACACTGGGAGCAGAACAAGGAGGCGACCATCTATGTGGGAAACCTGGACGAACGGTTCGGCGAGTCCTTGATGTGGGAGATGATGACGCAGATGGGACCTGTGGTCAACCTGCACATGCCCATGGACCGAGTCTCGCGCACACACCAGGGCTACGGCTTCGTCGAGTTCGACTCGCCCGAGTCGGCCGACTACGCAGCACGCGCTCTCAACGGCATCCGCGTTTACGGAAAGGTCATCCGCGTCAACAAGGCCAGTGCCGACAAGCAACGCGCCGCCGAGATAGGCGCCGAGCTGTTTGTGAACAATCTGGACCCCCAGGTGGACGAAAAGACCCTGTTCGACACATTCAGCCGCTTCGGGCAGCTTGTCACGCCACCAAATGTCGTTCGAGACGCCAACAACATCTCCAAGGGCTACGGTTTCGTAAACTTTGACAGCTTCGAGGCCAGTGACCAAGCACGCGACACCATGAACGGCCAGTACCTGCTCAGCAAGCAGATCACTGTCGAGTACGCCTACAAGAAGGACGGCAAGGGCGAGCGCCACGGCGACGACGCCGAGCGTAAGCTGGCGGCCGAGGGCAAGAAGCACAACATCGTTCCCGAGCAGCAGCCCCTGCCACCCGCCTTCCTCATGACGGCACCACCGCCCACGACCCCGGCAACCCCTACCGGCCCAGCCTCTGCCGGCCCCGGAGCCCCTGCTGGTGCACCTCCTGGCTTCGACTCTGCTAATACCGGTCGACCCGGCGGCGTACCAGGTGGGCCCGGCGGCCCTCCGCCCATGCTTCCGCCAGGAGGCATCCCCCAGGGTTACGCTCCCCCGCCACTCAGCGCCCATGGAGGCCCCATGCCTCCACGGGGCGGCCCGCCTCCAAGCTTCGGAGGTCCCCCGCACCACCACAACAGCCACCACCACCCTCACCACGGCGGTCCTCATCACCACATGGGCCCCCCCGGGAGGCCCTGGTGGCAGTCGCATGGGTGGCGGCCCGGCCATGCCTCCGCCCATGGGTCTCGGCGGCCCGGCCATGCCTCCGCCCATGGGTCTCGGCGGCCCAGGGCCGTCGGGTCTGCCCGCACGCCCGCCACCCCCAAGCCAAGGGGCTTTCGGTATGCTGCCGCCCAACGACTTCCATCCTGGCGGCGGGCCCCCCGGCGGAGCCGGCGGCTTCCGCGGGGGTCCTCCTGGCGCCCCACACCAGGGATTCGCACCGCCGCCAAGCTATGGCCCTCCGAACGGTGGTCCGCCAATGCCTCACCCCTCTGGCTTCATGCCTCCGCCTCCGGGCTTCCCTGTCCGTCACTGAAAACGCTGCTTTCGTCTACGAGACTTTGGGGCCCGAAAGGTTGGAGCCGTATCCATGGCCGCGGTGACGTGATATCTAGCACTTTGTGCCTAGCTCAGCAGTTGAAGCTTGGGCTTTAGCCTACGAATAAGCCAATGCAACTTTGGCCCGAGAACTTGACTTCTTATTGTTCCAACTCGAAGAGGCAGCCGCAGCAAGCCTTGCTCTTGCATGTTTGTGTGGCCTGATAAAGCCCAGGCCGCGTATCAGCCGACCCGCGACACCTGCTAGACAGGTTAGGCAGGGCATGATGGTCGTGCCGCGGGTTTTTGTTTACTGCCCTGTGGTGGGCCAGGCGATGGATGGGTGTTGTCGGGGACTAATTGGCAGCAATCCATCTCGATGGCTGCGGGCATTGTGTGAGTCTCGAGATGTCCGAGAATACAGGGATGGAGAGCAGATGGAAAGCGAATGTTACGAATATACCCCGAGGAAAGGGAATCTGGTTTCGACTGCTAGTGTTGGGTAGAATGTGGGCAGATGGCGCTAAAAGAGAAAATAAAATATGCCCGTGAGGGAATGATGCCTTGACCAGGACATGGCCCCTGTTTTTCTCCGACGCCTACTGCTTGATATCCCCTCCTTGTTGACCCACACACAGTCTTGCGGTTGGGGCCTTCTCCGAGGGTAGCCTACCTAGGAAGACTCTGAGCAGTACATTGAGGAGAGTATTCAGGGGAACAGGAAAACTACGTGACAGAATTCTTGTTAGCTGCTCATAGGGGTGGCTTGGAGGGTAACTTGAGCTCTCAAGACAGCAGGGGATTTCTCTGTTATATCTCTGCCTTGTGCCTTGGGGCTCCTTGGCTCGCCGTGGTCACTCCAACCACTACGAATGGCGCGGGTATCACATGGGCCTCGTATCCGGGCGGGAACGCCTCAGCCCGGTCTCGCGGCATCACTCCGTAGGCAGCCCCGTAGTCTTTTTTCCACAGCTTCACATCTTCGCACACAGTCAAGGCACATTTCGCAGCAGTCCCTCGGAGCATATATGGCCAACACAGATATCTGTATTAGAAACACCTAATCGAAATCAGAGGTGTTCAGTACACTCTCTCTACTGGACCTGGAGGGGCTTGCCTATGGTTGGGCTGTCAACAAGGATGGTGGCCCGGACACCCATCCAGGTAGCAGTGACGAGGTGTATATCCAAAATCCGATTCCGAAAACAACCCTCTTTTTTCCCCCCGAAACTCCTCACACGTCTGCGCAATCTCAACGAACAAAAAGGACGAAATGCAAAACAACCAAAAACACATTACCCCACAAGTTGAGCACCGAGAAGGCTTCTTACTGGCCGAAGGTGGGAAGTATGTTGCGGAGGGCGGCGGCCCTGCCGGCCCCACGGGCGGGAGGAAGGTTAGCCGTAGCTGGGGCGGCAGCCGGAGCGGTAGTAGGTGCCTTCTTCTTGGGGCGCTTGGGCAAGGCGTTCAGGCCAGGGTCGCGGCGGGCCTCGAGGACAGAGCGCTTCTGCTGCTGGCCGAAGGTGGGAAGTATGTTGCGGAGGGCGGCGGCCCTGCCGGCCCCACGAGCGGGAGGAAGGTTGGCCGGGGCGGCGGCCGGAGCGTCAGCCGGAGCGGTAGCCGGAGCGGTAGTAGGTGCCTTCTTCTTGGGGCGCTTGGGCAGGGCGTTCAGGCCGGGGTCGCGGCGGGCCTCGAGGACAGAGCGCTTCTGCTGCTGGCCAAAGGTGGGATGCGTGTTGCGAAGAGCGGCAGCCCTACCAGCCCCACGAGCAGGGGGCAAATTGGCCGGGGTGGTAGCCGGAGCCGTAGTAGGTGCCTTCTTCTTGGGGCGCTTGGGCAAGGCGTTCAGGCCAGGGTCACGGCGGGCCTCGAGGATCATGGGCTGCTCCAGGTCGCGAGCACCGACTGCGGCCACGTTGTTGGTCGCGGACTGCTGCTGGGCGAGCACAGGGGCGCCGAGGGCTGCGATGGCACCAAGCTGGAAGACGGTCGAGAAACGCATCTTGTCGTTGGGGGGTGGCTTGGCTGGGGCAGTTCGTCCAAGTGATCGCTGAGAAAACGGCAAAGAAGAAACGAAAAAGGAAAAGAATTTGGACGGAAAAGGATATGGATAATAGCAAAGACGATAGGAAAATGACAGTAGGAAAAGGACAAAAGGAAACGATCCGGATGAGGAGAAGGAGCAGCAAACAGAACTTGGTGGTGCGGGAAACGCACCCTTTATAGCTTGGGTCTGTCCATGGCCGAGATGGGGTGGCTCGGTGGCAAGCAGACTGCCTGCTACCGCCAGAGGTTCCGTAAAGCGGAGCGAGGGTCGCTGTCGTGGCACGGCCGCTTGGAGACCATGGGATGCTATAGTGGTCCCTTATGCTCATGCGTCAAACCCCATGTCGTATTCGGCACGGGTCTTCCCAACGGACCCACCAAGCGGGCCGAGCTAACTGCTAATTTTGGACAATTAGTTCAATGCTACGGAACCTAAGCCTTCGTTTTTGTTTCTTTGGTTATAAATAGCTTCTCTTCGACACGTTGGTGCCGTGAAAGTGGCATTCTATTTCATTGAGATGAAGAACGTCGACCACACACACCTGGGATCTGAGGCCGCGTGGTCGCTCCAAGAAGCAGCCACGCAAGCCAGCCCAGACACGATCCATATACTTCCCAACGCGCGCCGTCATCTGGACTGCTTCAGGCTGCCGGAGCACCAGTGCGGGCCGAGGGCCGGGGCATTTCGGCGACGCAACTGATTGCCTGCAGTGTGTATAGTGTCATGTTATCACGGCGAAGAAGGCCATGGCCCTCCTGATCCAGAAGGGGGCCGACCTCAATGTCCACCACCATGAGGGCGTGCCTGGCAAGCTTCGCCCATGGTAGGATGGTGATGAAAGGTGAATCTTGAACATTTTTATCAAGCTAGAACTTATACTCCTAGACCGTCTTGGAAATTTGCAAACGCTGTGCCTACAAGCAGAGCTGAAGGCGCATCAGGGGAACTAGGAGAATAGCAGTCGTTCTGGTCTGGTTAACCTATCCATCTAGCATGTTTTTTTCCTGTGCTGCTTTCAACTATTGCATGTATAGTTCCTGATTCCCTGCCTCTGCGGTACGCTAGTTGCCCAATCTCAAACACCAACGGCAAGTGTAACACGCTCTGATATGTCTGTAGCAGCAGCCCAGAAAACACCGTCCGGTCTCACACCCTCACACCCTCACACAGCAGGCCCATCCACCACCCTCTCATCCTCCCCTCCTCCCTCCATATCCCCGCCCCCAAACTGCTTCCGCCACTCGCCCGCCTTGGCCGGGTCTATGGGGCCGCCAAACAGCGCGTACGGCCGCCCGACCTCGTGCGCGTGCTCGCCCAGTATCGACGGGATCCAAAACTCGCCCGGCAGGTGCGGCGTCGGGTCGGCCCGCAGCATCTCGCAGACGCGACGGGCCGCGGCCGGCACAAAGGGCGAGACGGCCGACGCGACCAGGTGCGCCGCGTTGACGGCCATGCCGACGTCGGCCGCAAAGTCGTCCTCGGTCGTGTCCTCGGTCACGGCGCCGTCGTCCCCATGCATCGCCGCATCGGCCCGGCGCAGCAGCGCGTCCAGCTGGTCCGCCATGCGCAGCGCCACCTCCATGGCGTCGCGGAGCCGGAGCGCGTCCATGTAGGCCCTGTAGCGCGCCAGCAGGACGTTGAAGACGCCGAGCCAGAACTCGGGCGGCGGCGGCGGCGGCGGCGGGGCTGCTGCTGCGCCTCTTGCCCCGGGATAGGGACAGCGCCAGTCGGGCACCACGCCGCCGAAGCAGGCGTGGTTCACACAGTCCAGCACGCGCGCCACGGGCCGCTCGAGGCACGCCGTGAGCGTGTTGGCCGCTTCGACTAGCGAGTCCCAGCAAAACTCGACGTCGGCCCCGTCCTCGGCCCGGTGCCAGAGCAGGCACCAGCGCCAGACGTCGGCGTCGACGCCCGTGGCCACGGCCGCGTCGGCGAAGACGCCCACCCGGCGCGACGTCGAGAACTTCTTCCTTCCCCTTCGCACGTCAGCCGCCCCGTGGCCGACACGCGGTGCGGCATGGTCCAGCCGTCGCGCGTGCCCAGCTGCGCCGCCGGGAACAGCACCGAGTGGAACCGGGCCTGGTCCGCGCCCACGAACTGGTACAGTCGGACCTTGTTGTTGCCGCTGCCGTCGCGCCACCACCTCTCCCACGCGTCCGTCGCCGCCGCCGTCATCGACGCGTGCCCGACGCACGCATCAAACCACGGCCACAAGACCTTATTACTACCGTCGCCCATATCAAACCCCTCGACCCGCGGCACCGGCGTGCCCCACGCCATGTCACGCGTGATGCAGCACTCCTCGCCCATCCACGCCGCCGCGCCGCCTGACCACACGCCGCCCGCTGCCAGCGCCGCCTCCACCTCGGGCAGCAGCACATAGAGCCTCAAGAACGCATGCGTCGACCTCGACTCCCCCATCACAAGCGCCGCCCCGTCCAGCCCGCACCGCGGCGGGACGGCGGCGGTGGCGGCGCGCGTCTCGACGAGCCCGTTGCGCGCGAGCTTGGCGAAGAGGTCCTGCGCCATGGCGGCGTGCCTGCCGTTGGGTGTGCGACCAAACACGTCAAACTCGACCCCGAACCAGTCGTAGATGTCGGCGTGCACCTTGTGGTACCGGTCGCCGAGCTCGCGCGGGCTGCAGCCCCGAGCGGCCGCCTTGGTCGGCGTCGTGGCGCCGTGCTCGTCCGTGCCTATTTTTGAGTGCGTGTGCGTGCACGTGCATGTGTGTGTGATGTGTGAAAAAGGGCGTATGTGTGTGGACGGTGCAAGTAACACACGCGGCTGCTGGGTAGGTAGCTTCTCACTCACCACCCACAAAAAGAGTCGTGACGCCGCACGCCCTGCTGTACCTCGCAAACACGTCGGCCGAGAGCACCGAGCTGACGATGCTGCCGAGGTGCGGCACGTCGTTGGCGTAGAGCAGCCCGCTCGTGACCAGGACGTTGCGCCGCCCGGGCTTCGGTAGCGGCACGCGACGCTGCAGCTTGGGAGGGACGGGAGGGGGAGGCCGGCAGGTGGAGATGTGGGCGCCCACGTCCAGCCCGATGACGGGCTTGTACGGCTTTTCTTCCAGCTCCGCGGGCATGTTTTTGGGCGGAAAGACCAGTGATGGACAATAATGTCTGTAAGAAAGATGATGCTGTGACAAGCGATGATAAAGTCCAAACGGGCCTGTCGAGGTGTCGGTTTCCAAAGACCCGAGCTCTAAAAGATGAGCAGGATCCTGTTGGGGGGCGTTTGCTTGATGCTGTCCGGATAGTTCAAGCCACCCACGAACACCAAGCAACAAGGCTCGGACGCGCATGACATTTGCCCATGCCAGTCAGAGAGAGAGAGAGAGAGAGAGAGCTTGATCGTCATTCGCCAAAGACAGCTCTTGCCATGCCCGAAAAGCCACACTGCGTCGCGTGGCAAGTGGTGACGCAACGGACCTGCCTTGTATGAAGCCTCTGCTTCTTCATCATTGCAAGCTACGCCATAGAAACCACTCGTTAGCTAAGTACCTATGTAGTGCTGGTATAAAGCCCCTTTGACTATTTTGTCGCCATTCTAGCTCATATCGCCTGTCCATTTTTCTTGGTTTCGAGTCTCAGATGTTGTGTGTAGAATAGCATCCACGCCTCCCATCTCCCTGCTTCTCTGTTTCGCCCGCTTTCCTTGCCCAATTATCGAAACACTGCCACCACGTATAATACAGAAAGAAAAGAGTAGGGTATAGCTGGGCAGAGGCGGGGACGAACCAGCATTTGAAGCTGTGCCTAGGTGGCCCATCGCCCGGAGAAAAGGTGCGCGGTGCGCAAGAAACAACCAGGATCCCTAAAATGTAATCAGATCCGCCTCGTTGGGGTTCGGAGCGAGAGCTTCCTGGAGGTTGAGCTCGACATCTCCAGCCAGAAGATCCAGTGGAGCGTCCTTGGGCTCCGCCTTCTGCGCATCGTCTTTGCCCTGGCCCTTGGCCGGCGAAGTGGCCATTGCAGATCCCTCGGCAACATTCCGGGGTTCAAACGACATCAGGTCCTCATCGCCAGGCGGCAACTCCTAGTTCGCCTCGGCAGCGGCAGCGGGGACCTCCTCCGTCGGAGCAGCAGCCGCAGCAGCAGCCGCAGCCTCGGCCGCCGCCGCCGCGTGAGCCGCAGCCTCGGCGGCAGCAGCGGCGATCCTCTTGCGGTTCTTCTCGGCCTCGACGAAAAAGTTCTCCTCGACGGCGGCGCGGCGCTGGAACGCGCGCAGCCACCGGTCGACCCACTGGCGCGCCAGCGGGTCGCCCGCCGCCGCCAGGACCGACGATGCCGACCTCGCCTTGACCGCGCTCTCGATCAGCTGGAACAGCTCCCGCAGGTCCTTGGCCTCGGGCGTGTCCGCGTAGGGAACGTGGTCCGGGCCGTCGCCGTTGCTGGCATCCGTCATGGCGAGGTCGCCGTCGGCCGCCGGCTTGGCCGCCTCCTGCTGCGCCACTATCTGGCGCGCCCGGCCCGAGACCTTGATGACCGTGTTCAGCACCAGCTCGTAGAGATAGGCGTGCGCCAGACGCGCCTCGTCCGACGCCTCGCCGCTCACGGCCCATTCGGCCACAACCTGCGGCGTCAGGATGGCGTAGTTCAGCAGCTTCTCCACAATGGAGAGCGCCACGCCCGGGTGCGCTGACCAGTACGACATGACGGCCGCCATGATCTGCGTCCGTGCCGCCGCCGAGGCCGAACCACTGTCCAGGAGCCGGTCCTTGACCCGCTCGATGCAAGCCAGAACGTGGCTGAGCGATTTGGATCCCACTGCCAGCACCGCCGTCATGAAGACATCGGTGCTGCTCACAAGCGGATCGCGCCCCTGGTCCACCGCCTCGTTCTGGATCTGCTCGATCAAGGGCTGAATCTCCTCGTCCGGCACCTTGCTCTTGAGGAGTTTAACCATCTCGCGTCCCTGGCGGGCAAAGGGCACGTCTGATGACATGGGAGGGTTTTGTCAGCTCATGCTCAGCGTAGCGACCGCTCGCTCTCTCACTTTCCATCGAGTACTCACCATCCTTGGCGAACTTGAAAACGGGCACATCCATCTCCTTCTCGGCACTGATCAGAGGCTTATACTCGTCCGGAACCGTGTTCTTGATGCGCTGGGCAAAACTCAGCCGTATCTCCTTGTCCAGCGCCGCCAGGATGAAGGCCTTGTGCGGGTGTAGCATCGGCAGCTTCACGTCGTCGACCCACTCGGTCCACTTCCAGGTGAAGCCAAAGTTGCTCAAGTGATGAGAGAACCAGTCGACGAAGCGGTGGTTCAGCTCCAGATCGAGGCGACCGCCATTGCGGTACAGCGACCTGATGGCCCTGCCCAGACTGGGCGCGATGGCCGCCGGCGATACCTTGCACGTCTCGTACAGCACCGAGTGGTAGTACACCAGTTTATGCTCCGGCGCCGGCAGCTGGAAGAGCTGCGAGAAGACCGTGTCCACCACCATGTCCTCGGGCTTCCACGTCGACCGGCCTTGCTCGATATCGCGCAGCCGATCAAACGGAGTGGCGCGCTTGACGAACGTGCCGTTGTTGAAGAAGCAGTCGACGTCGATGAGCGTGCGGGCCACGAAATTCCTGTTGTAGTGAAGAATATTGATGGTGTCCAGGATGGCGTCTCGTATGAGCGACGCCGCGATGTTGGTGACCTGGGGCACAGAATCGATATCCTGGCCCGAGTAGACCGAGAAGTAAACCTCGGGGAACAGATCCCGGCTGCCGGTCACAATGTTCTCGGGAACCATGACAGCAGGCAGGGCGTGCTTCGGGCAGTCATCCAGCTTGGACTGGTGCTCCACCTCCTCGAGAGGCATCTTCCACGGCCGAGGAATACAGTCCACGATCCAGCCTCCAGCGGCCTCGGCCTGAAGCTGCTTCTGGAGCAGAGCGATCAGGCTTGGCTGGCTAGAATTCTCGTCATTGGGATCGAATACGTAAGGGTCGACCAGTTTCTGCATCGGGTGCGGCTCCGAAGCGATGATCTCGGTCTTGTCCATAAGCTCCGCCGCCTTCTCAGCCCACTGTCCGGGGGCGGCAGCCATGACGTACGGAATCGTGAGCAGGATGATCTTGACGAGCTCGGTGCCGATGGTCTAATTACGGACGACAGATGATTGTTAGCGCCTTAGTGTTCAATCCGCGCGCTTCTCGTGGCCAAGCGCGGAAGGGACCTTACATCATCGGAGCTGGCCGTCTGCAGGTCGACAGCGCGGTCGAACAGGGCGTCCAGAATGGGGAAGACGCCCTCGCCCTCGAGGCAGCTCTGCAGGCAGGCGAGGAACTTGAGCAGCAGCTTGGCCTCGCGCCACTCGCCGCGGCCGACCGCATCCTCGAGATCGCGGGCGGCCTTGGCGAGAACGGCAGCGGCGATCTCGCTGCGCATCGTATTGGCGACGAGCACGACGGCGGCGACAAAGGGCGTCTTGAACGGCTGCTCGACGGCGAGCTGACAAGTCAGGTCGACGAACCCGCGGTTAACGTAGTCGTCTTCCCAGTGGTCCGCCACGATCTGGGCCGTCTCGACCGCGTCCTGGTGCCACTTGCGCACGGCAGACTCGGCCAGGCCGAGAAGCTGCCGCCGGATCCGCGGGAAGGGCTGTGCATCGTGTCGTCGGCGGGGCGGGCCGCGTCGGTCGAGATCATCGTCATCTGAGGGTGCAGGCGCAAGGCGAGCGAGATGTCAGTCGCCAGGTCAACATAGTGCTCGATGCCGGGGGTACATCTCGCCGTCGCAGCTACCGGGGAGGAATGCGCCCACCATTGTATCTACGCCTCTTTGCGTTGAATCCGCCACGGCCGCCGCCGCCACGAGGACGTCTGTCGTAGCTGTCGGCCATTATCTCGGCATAGAAGGGCGACGTTGAGAGCGACCAAAACGCAGGTTGTAGTAGGGCGTCGCGACCCGGAACGCGCTCTTGATGAGATCCAAGAGAACAGGTGAGCCGGCTGTTACGGTCGCGTCTGGTAGAATTGCGGCCGCAGCACTGGCGCAGATTTCGGTTGAATAAAATTCCAAGACGGCGCAGTATCGAGCCGCAAAGAAGGCTTTTTCAAATGCAATTCAGATTCCTGACAATTGAATTGTTGGCTGACCTTGAACCTCTCAAACTCTCCAAGGAAGCTCTCCTGTAAGTTCCAGACTGGGCGCCAGCAAATAATAGCTCGAGTCGGTCATGCCTCGTCATGACATAAGCTGGACCTGAGTCGCACGGGTGTCTCCGCCTGGTATATCAGGCAACAGCGTGGTCTTGCAAACCAGCAGCTCATGGGGATTCTACCTCACTTGTTTACTGCAATTTTTATATGCATTGCAGGCTTATGATCTCTCTATAGGAGGGATACTGAAAGTTGGGGCGCAAAGGTGTCTGATTACGGCCGACCGGACTTCCGTGTGCGGCGGTTATCTACACTTTGTACTACCAGGATCTGCAAGTTCCCCAGCAGTAATAAATCACCATGTTGGTTCTTGGATAGGTCCCGGCGTGCAGTCTTTTTGCTAAAGGACAACCGAAACAAAGAAAAGCCCCCCCACAATGTGTGGCGGGAGCGAAGTAGCCAGTCGCCCGTGCCATTTTCTTTTTCTGCTCCTTTTTCTTGTCCAGTGAACCGCCCCGAGTGAAGAAATAATCCAGGCGCCTTTGACGCAACCTTGCAAAGAAAGGAAATGACGTGATAAAACCTAGTAATAAAAGCATCCCATGCCACCAGCATGCCGTCTTTCGGGCGCGTACTCCCACCTGGTCTGAAATCGGGGTAAGAACTGACCAACAGAAGGCACCAGACTCCCATATAAACATATGCGGATCCTCCTTGGGCAACTTCGAATCGTAGCAACTCTCCCGCAGAAGGTTGATTCTGGTTGCGTGCCACCGTTGACGGCTGCACCAGGCCACGGCCAGATCACAAGTAAGTAAACCATACACGCCGAAGCCCTCCTTGACACCTCCAGCTCCATCGCATCGCTAACGCGTCCTTGAGATGAGGGCTGTGTTCGTCCCGAGAGCGGACAGATAAAATGACGAAAGGATCCGCAGGATCAGCCACTCGCGGCACGAGTGGACAATGAAAGACCAATTGCGACACAAGGTATGGAAATAAGCAAGAAAAACAGCCATATGAGGTCATGCAGAGGGAAATCTAGGAGGAAAAAGCCGGTTGGTATCTTAGTCTGTCCTGCAAGCCGGCCCACCTAGACATGTCGGAGGGATCAGGCAAGTGCCCAGCTCGTTCGGCTAAGCATTGGGGTGACCGAGGGGCACCTGGCCATGCGAGAATGACCGTACCATCGTCTGCCCTCCACCGGGCCCATGTTGCCCAGTATGAACCAATCGAGCGTTCTAGCAGCCATCCACGCGATTTCTTGTCTGCCGACCTTGACAATACTTTAATCTGCTGTATAGGCACACAATTCGGAATCGACAGGCTGCCAGGGATGTCGGTACCGCCTGACAGATCCGCTGCCATTGGCGCCATACCGTCGGTGACAGGCCATTCTCCGATCTCGGAGAGGGTTGTTGGTTGAGTTGAGATGCCGGGACCACGATTCGCCAGTAAATACCGATACATGCGTGCAAGAGAGGCTGGCTCGTTCCCGGAGAGCGAGACTTCTTCAGTCTAGCCTTGCGAGCATCTCTTCCCTCCTCATCGGTGTGAAGTTGTCGATGTCGAGTCCACGTTCCTGTAGGACAGGCCTCATATGAGCCGGCACGAGCTGGCGGTTGAGTTGCGGGGCGATCGACAACTCTACAACACCACGCAGTTAGTTTCGTCAGTTTATCCGGTAGATGTTTGGGGAAGCCACGCGTCGCGGCTGGTGTAGAGACGTACCATGACGGTTGAAGTCGAACAGGGCAGGCAGTTCCCGAAGCTGGCCGCTCTGGTGCCTCGAATCCGGAAGCTTCGTGGCGGGGTCACGCAGTTCATCGAAGAAGGGATGGACCATGGCGTCGACCGCCGCCAGGCGTTCGGTCGGGGTGTACTCGAGAAGGCGCGCGATCAAGTCGATAGCATTGCCGTCGGCCTTGCGGAGAACCCTGTTGAACGGATGGGGCTTGATCTGGGGGAACTTGTGCTCCATGTAGTTGGGGTTCATTGTCCGGATCTGCTCACGCGTCGGTGTGCCGAGAACCTTGATGATCTCCACCAGCTGGTCTATGCCCGACTCTCCCGGGAACAGGGGCTGTCCAAGCATGAGCTCGGCCATGACACAGCCAGTAGACCACACATCTGTCGGAGACAAGGGGGGCATGGTCAGCACAAACGAAAGATCTACGTCACAGCAGCAATGGACAACAGGAATCACGGCTTACCGATCTTGGTGGTATAGTTGGTGGCCCCAAAGATGAGCTCGGGCGCGCGGTAGTATCGTGAACAGATGTACGAGACGTTGGGCTCGTTCTCCACGAGTATCTTGGCGCTGCCAAAGTCACATAGCTTCAGGACTCCCGTGGAGGGATCGAGAAGCAGGTTTTGCGGCTTGATGTCGCGATGGCAGATACCCTGCGAGTGGATGTAGGCAAGAGCCCTGAAGAGCTGGTAGATGTAGAGCTTGACCTCGAGTATCGGCATCGTCGTCTTCATCTTGTTGAAAAACCTCGAGGCGCGGTAGACGGTTTCGGGCACGAATTCTTGCACCAAGTTCAGGTAGACCTCGTCTTTCTAAAAACACGCCACAGGCAAATGTCAGCAACCGCAAACTACTGTCGCTGTGCCCTACCATCACTACTTACCCGCTCGCCGTTGGAGTAGTAGAAGGCCTTCAGCTGGACGATGTTGGGGTGGCGGACGATACGCATGATCTGCAGCTCTCGGTTCTGAACGCAACGAGTTAACCACGGGCCTGGAAAGTGACGAAGGGGCAGCAATGTAAAGAGGGAGCACACCTTGAACCTCTTGTCTTGAAGCACACGCTTTATTGCTGCGTCCTCGTTCGATGGCGATAGCTTTGTCTGGAACACGACACCGAAGGATCCATTGCCGACAATCTTGCACTGCGTGTACTGCAGATCGCGCGTCTCGCCGGTGATGCCATCCTGCACCTTCTCGCGAATAACCTCTGCGACAAAACAACCTTGAGCATCAGCATGACGACCCGAGGATCAAGGATAGGAGAGAGTACAAAGGCAGGGAGATACTCACCACCCATTCGCAGGGTATTGAAAGCTGCGGGGCGATTCTGCGACATGGCGAACGGCCAATTTATGTATTGATGTTATTGCGCGTATCGCCTAGCGGCTCGGGGCGGCAGGGGTGCCAAGGGCAACTGAAGTCTTTTGATGTGTGCCGTGGTGGGCAACCGAGTAGAACGAGGCTCGATGATTGTACGGTTTGTGGGCAGACGGTCGTGGCCGGGGTGGTGCCGACGGAAAAGTTGGTAATTGCTTCGCAGGGAGAGGACCGTGTCGAGTCCAACGTGGTTCGGGCGAAGGCGGCTAACCGTTGGGCTGCGAAACGATGGTTGTGTTGCGGAGGGGTCGAGCGGATTGATCAAGGCAAAGGACAGGCGCTGAGGCCTGGTGGCGGGAGTGGTCTGGTGACTGGCCCCGCGGCAGGGATTCAATCAGAACGGGTGGCGGCGCGGTGGTTGTAGCGGCTGTGTACTGCCTAGAGACTTGGCTTCTGTTAGGGAACACGAAGAGATGAGGTTCGAAGAATCAGGAGACGAGGCCTTGGTGATCGAGGCAAGGAGTAATTTGATGTTGCGATGTGGAATCGTGAAAACAACAAGTCGATGTCGCACTGGGCGAAGGTAGAAAGTGGGAGCGGCTGGTGGTGACGGAGGGGTGGGGAAGCGGAGTGATGGGAAGAGCAGGGCAGGGAAATCAGTAATATGGCGGTGGCTACTGGCGCTCAAAGAACGGGCCGGCGTCGAGCGACTTTGCCGGTGGGGACAAAAGAGGTGCGTGGGGATTGTAGGGGTCCCGACAGACCAATGTGGCAACCATACACGAGTCCAGATTGAGCGAGGGCGAGGGGCGTCAGGGCCTTCGAGACGAAAGGCAGGGGGAAAAAATAGGAGAATAAAATAAAACAAAACAAAACAAAACAACCTCGAGGCTTTGGATGCAGCGGGCTTGCGCTCTAGCGAGCGAGACGGGAGCAGGTTGCAACTAGAGGGCAGTGTGATTGAATGCAGCCGAAGCCGATACTAGAGGGTTACAGCAGACAGCGCGCCCACAGAGCAACGGAGGGTTCTTCCTTTTCGGACGCACGATTGGAGGGGCTGGGATTGTCGAACCAGGTGGGCGGTTGGGAAGGGACGGGTGGGAGGGGGGAAAGGTGCGAGCGACGGAGGAGGCAGTGGCTCAAGCTGCCACTGCCGCTGCTACGGGACCAGCCAGGCCCGGTCGGGCCTTAAGTTGAGTTGAGCAACTAGTGAGCGCCCGCTCGAACGACAAATACAGACGCGCAGCAGACAGCGACGCAACGCAACGCAACGCAACGCGACGCACGGCAACGGGGCAGTTGAGGAGACGGGTGGGCGACGTGGTGAGGGCAGGTCGGGCTGGGCTGGGCTGGGCTGGAGACAGGAGTGGAGGGTTGCAGGGGTCCAGCAACCACGCCGGCGCAAGATTCAAGCCAAGCAGACACGCACAGCATGCGCACATGGCAAAGACCTGGGTAGCCCGCGTGCGTCCTGGGTGGATGCAACTGGGAGGTCCGCTGACTGAGTTGACTTTTTTTCCAGTTTCCTGCGCTGCTCCCCCTCTTGCAGCCGGGCTGCGGGGTCAGATGGGCAGCCAGGCAGGCATACGCGCATGTGTGTGTGTATGTGTGTGCGAGGGAGAGAGAGGAATGCTGCGAGTGGGCGTGCCGTAGGCTTCTGTACTCAGCAACCCACTTTTGCCTTGCAACAGCACCCAACACGCCTGGGCACCCGGTACCGCCCAGCCCGACAGCCCGCCGCGCCGGTACCTGGAAAAGCAAGCAGCGTACCTGCACCCTCGCGGCTCCGGCCTATTGTCTGGCCAGGAGACTTCTGCCCGAGGGACTGCAGGGTGGATGCGATGCGCGCTGGACGGGTCGAGGCTGGGCGAGATTGGCTCGAGGGCGGCCAGGCCAGGCCAGGCCAGGCCAGGGGAGGCACCGTGTTCCCAGGAGGTACCTGATATTCCGTGCAGCGGGCGCGACGATGGTGCAGACTCGGGAACAGACGTGGGCAAATAGAATTGCAGAAGGCGGTTGCGAAGCAGGCATTGGAGGGGTAGCTTCGCTAGAGCTAATCAGGGCGGCCAAGGGGCAGGTGGGTGGACGGGAAGGGGAGGCATGGCAGGCAACGGAGGGTAGAAGGTCGAGCCAGACTTACGGGCATGCACGCCGTCTCGTTGTGCGCTTCCTGAAGGCTTCTCGTCTGTTGGCTGGGTCAGCCCCCTGTCTCACAACACAACCACGGCAGTGTCCAGCTGGAGGGGGATCGTTGGCTAGGGCTAGGCGGGAAGGGCTGGAGTGTTGGAGCCCTGATTGGAGCTGCGGCTCGGTGTTGGCAGGTGGCACCTACGGCTATATCACCTTTGCGGCCTGGTTTGTGGCCGAGGAGGCGGCGAGGTATAGAATCGGAGGGGGGTTACAGGCTTCGAAATCAACCGATAGGGCGCACGCGTGTCATGGATGGAGTCCGGGTCCCGCGTCAACAGCCCGCCGTGCTGAAAGGTCGAGATACAGGACAGGGAGGAAAGAGCTGAGGATTCGAGGCGGGGCAGAAAAACAGGGAGGGTGGTCGGTTTTATTTCGCCTGTGGGGTGCAAGCCACACGCCCTGGCAGCAAAAGCGACTGGACTAGGAAGGCACGGCCAGCCTGACGTCTGGCTGGCTGTGTGGTCTGGTGGTGTGTTGATGGGCGTGACGGCCAGCCAGTTACAGTGGCCGGTCGCAATGGCCACCCACAATATCCATCACTTTAGGATCACACCTGTCGCGCTCCTGTCCCTCGTTTCATTCTCTATTTTGGTTCCTATGCTCTTATTGCTATTTTCTTACACCTACATGGGCCCTCTACAAGTCCCGAAGAACACTCACAGCAGACCTAGGCATGAGAAGCCACCAACAATGGGGGTATTACAGGGGCGTGTCTAGAGCAACCCGGGTGCTTGGCTGGCATTCCATTTACTAGAATCGGCTGTTGGGGACGGTGATGGACGCATGACTGACCTCCACTATGGCTTCCAAACCCGCCTTGCTCCCAGCCACTGACCTGCCCGTGCAATAAGCTAGAGGTGGGTTAGGGTAATCACCTCGCTGGCTAGGCCTGCAGCGCCTTCCCCAACAGTCATATGCCTTGCTCCTACCCTTCGTGCCTTCCTTTCGGCACACCTTATTTTCCTCTGGCCACACCTTGGGGGCTGGGGGATACGGCCGGGGCTGGTCACCTGCGCGTGACCTCCAACAGGTGGAGGTTTGGAGCTTGGGCAAATTGGCGGACGCGCCGAAAGGTAACGTGATCCCCAAGAGTCGAGTCTGTCGTCACTGGTGTCATCTCGACCTCAAGACGGCCGGCGCCACGATTGAGTCTAGCCTCAAAATAACAATACGAGCGCCGGCAGCCTGCCGTCTAGCCCGCTACAGCAATCCCCTGAATATATCTGACTCCGGCACTGGCATCGGTCAGGCGACAGGGGTGTTTGACTCGATTGCTGAAGCGGTTTTGAACGGATGGGAAAAGCAATGAGAAGCAAAGGGGCTGCTTACAGTAGAACAAAAAAGAAGAAGAAAAAGCAACAAATTGGGGGTTATCGACCGCAGTCTCTCAGACCCAGGAATCCGGAAACCTGTCTGAGCTGCGTTACCTTGAGAATCGAAAACTGTTTTGCTTCCGACTTCAGCTGTCCCACTCTGGGGACTAGAAATGCTGGCTCGGATGCGAACCGATTTTCTGAGGTAGGTTTCCCCAAACGACTTGGAGAACAATGGATAAAGATCGACCGCATCTTGGGGCTAGATGCCTATGGGTGCTCAGCGCGGTAGCCACAAAACTCGACCTGCAGCTTATCCAAGGCCCGCGCCTCGGAATAGCTTCACTTGCATGCAAGCAACGCCCAGGTACCCCCCGCCGGCAGTGGGGTCGAGCTGCAAGGAGCTGCCCATGCTCGATGAGATCCAGGAGACGGCGGGAAAAACAAAAACAGGGGCGCTGGTCGGAGCAGGCGCTCACGCGCAAGGCAGAGCTTTTCCGGGCCCCAAGCAGAAACCCCACCCAGCAATCCAAGCTCCAAGGAACCGCCCATCGACCGCCCAAAGACGCAGGCCGGGGTGGACACACGAACCCAGTTCCCTCCCCGCCGGGGAGGTCACGATGATCACGGAGAGTGGGTATCGGCGAGAGGGGTTGGAGGGCGCCCCCGAAGTGGGTAATCCCAGCGAGAGGGGAAACGAGATGGATGACGAGTGTCCGCGTTTGTTTCGCCAGCTCGAGGCAGGGGCGGGGAGCGGCCAGTCGAACAGGATCTTGCTTTTTGCATCTCACCTCGGGCGCTTGGGTCCCAGCCCTGCAAAAATCGCACTGTCAGTCGTACCGTTTCCAAGGAGGCAAAAAGAAGACGGCCGCGATGGTAGTGAATTGTCAAGCCGGTAAACGGGACACCTCTCCGTTCTTTGACTTTAGATACGGAATCCCCTCGGACCCAGCATGTTTGGCTAATTGCTGTCGTTTCCTCATCCCGGTGCATCTTCCCAGCCGCCCGTATTCACCATGAACCAAGCAGCTTTGCAGCTTTTTGTTTTCTGGCTAGGGGCAAAGTGGGGGGTCGTGTTCAGCTTCTGGGGCACCTACTTGTCGCGTTTAAGGGAGGGGGCCGTTCATTTGGGGGGCTTGTTTTTGCTCATGTGCTCTCTTTTGAGACGAGCCAGACTGCGTCAAGGGACTCGGCGGCGGAGCTTAAAAAAAGGTCCAACTGTCATGGCCACGGAAGCATGGATGGGCAGACGGACAGCTGTGCCGCACGGCGCTGCGCTGTGGGCAGGTGCGTCATTGCCTGGGCAGGCAGGCTGGGTCACAACTGCTTTGAACGGGCTCAGATACAGGCTGTCCAGCACGCGGCGGATGGGCTTTTTGAGACGTTGGCAAGTGCATCCGGCAATGTTTCTTCTCTTGACCTTCTTTCCCTTTTGATCTGAATGGAAATGGCAGGAAAAAAGTAACAAGCCGCACCTTCCGGGAAACCCCCAGGAAGCCTGAATGACAAGGATCCAAGGACGAGTGCCTTCCGGTTGGGTCATGGCCGGCCGCCACTGGAGGGTGTGTTCGAATGACGAGGAGACGGGACTCTGGCGTCAGAGATTCGGTTGAACCATCGAGGACGTGGCCAGACCGTCCCCCCTCGGAGGAAAAGTCAATGCGACGAATTGCATCATTCCATACATTAGGCTCACGCATGCTGCCCGGGCTCCCCATGCGCTCCCGTCTTGAGACCGTCCAGCCTGTCGAGCCAGCTCTGCACGCTCCCGTCTGGACATTGGTAATCAGGAAAAAGGCTTTTTCTCTCTCTCTGAAGGACCCGACTCCGGGCCTGCCGCGACTCCGAGGAGCATGGGCGGCCAAGATTTAACCCAAATTTGATGTCTCTCTCGTGGGGTGACACGGGGGTGCAACGGCACACAAGACGGGAGGCACAGCTGTCTCCTCACCTTGTGGTTGCTCTGGGCCGGCCTGTGTAGGCTGGCTGGCTCCCTCGATGGCTCGATGGCTCGATCTCGGTCACCTGCGAGGTGTGGTGGGTGTGTAAAAGGCCCCCTGTATCCCAGAGGGAGAATCAGGAGAGGTGTACCCAGCAGAGGACAAGTGAAACACGATTGGCCCTGGCAACAAACACACTTCCGCCCGCCTCCGTTTCGTCTCCAATCGACATTTGGGCTGCAACGCAACGGACGGCCAGAGTTGTTGATAAGATTAGATGTTGCTCAGGCCGCCCAAATCTGTCCGCCTCACGCCTCTAGTCGAGATGAACAACCGGGCTGAAGGAAATGCTCACATTGACCAGAGACTGTCCATCCCACCCCTTCCAAAGGGCTCGGCCTGGGCAGCAAAAGTCGCGGGCATGGCTCATCCAAACACGATTCGTCGCCGAGTACGTTGCCACACGCCCCATTGGACCCCCAATTGGCCTATTGGAGCTTTGGAAGAGGTGGGAGAGCTCCGTGAGCTCTCGAATGCACTGCATCATCAATCGCCTTCCTCTGACCCGCTGTAGCTGCGTTCTAAGCCAATGGGAAATCGTTTGGCCAGGCGAGCGGTGCTACAAGCACAAACACCGTTCTGGAATGCCGCTCACATGTGTTGGGAGCTCACAGACACCGGGCAACTAGGAAGAAACAAAAAGAAAAAAAAAGACCTAATCATGGAATGCTAGACCGGCAGAGGGAAGGAACAGAGGCCCCCGTTTTGGGTTGCGCAGTGCAGGAGCTGTGCAGAAGGCAGAGCTCCAGGGTCCGCAGTGCTGCTTTACCTCTGTGCCAATCCGTCCCAAGCCCGCACTAAAATTCACCACTAAATGCTTTGCTGTACGCAATTGGGGTCCCATGACCCAATACCCATCAGCCCACGGCCTATCCTGGATCCGTCCGAGCTTGTAAACGAGCCTCGAACCGCCAGCATATCACGGACATGGGCCAGGAAATAGGACCCCCGTCCTCCCCTTTGTTGTTCTCCCCCTTCGATCTTAGCCCTGGTAAAAAAGGACGAGTTCCGATGCAGGCACGCTCAGGTTGGCGTCTCCGCCACCGCCGTGGGCAGAACTAAACCCGGGCCGGGTATTCTCGTAGCGCCATCGAGGAAAGTCTGCCCGATGGACGACGCTCCTCGATGCCCGGGAGCGGACAGCTCCATCTAGCCCCCCAAATGTCGGGGGGTTGTGTATATGCGACCCAACCGGAGGCAGTCCAGGGATCATGATGTCAAAATATGCCACGTGACGACAGCCATTGTGCAGCGGCTAGCCTGGTCCGAAGCCAGCCAGCATGCTTTCCACATCTGGCGAGATGTGGTTTCGAACGATACGTGGCACCAGAACGGCCTGCGGCCCCCGGTAGTAGGGGGCCCCGAATAGGGTAAAGCCTGGGGCGGGATGGGCGAGCATGTGATTCGCGCGTCTGGCCTGAAGTCTCTTTCTTTTGCTGCCGCCCTCCCCATCCATTGACATTCCTCCTCGGGGTCTGGAAGAAGTTGCGGTTGCTGGCGTTGAGGTCATCGGCCTGCTCTCGTGACGGACGCATCCGATGTAGGCATGAAATGAGCGCATGAATGAAATGAGGCTTTGGAGTCGTGGGAAACTTCAGGCACAGTAGAGGCAGGTAGTGACGCGCTGGGGGGTCTGGAACCGGTGCTTTCATTCACGGGCTGGAACATAGTAGTAGTAGGTACATGTATGCACGTCCCCAATTCCTGCTGTGTGGACTGAACTGACGGCGATTGGTTCAGACGGCAGGCGAGTTGACGGCGCAGCAGCCGCAGCGTGCTGAGACGTACACACTAGTCCAACCCCGTCTTTGACTCTCCCCTTGACCGCGGGCTTGTCAATTGAAAGGTGAAAGGGGGAAAAGAAGGGCCGTATTCTTTGTGATGATCGTTGCGTCTGCCCAGCCTGCAACAGCGGTTATCGTAGCATTAGATCACAGCCCACAAGATGGCGGGGTAGTGTCTAGGTAGGTATGTGTGTATGCGTGTGTGTGCCTCAACTCCCATCCATACCATCTCGACCTGGGGCCCCGGACACTCCGCCGCCGACCCCATCCACCCCTTGCCCACGAAATGCATCAGAGAGGGTCGACCGCCCGCTTCCCGTCGCAATACGGCCCGAGAAGTATCTTGAGAGAGGAGCCGTTTGGGGGGAGGGGGACCCGCGAGATGCAACCCCCTCCTGCTGAGCAACAGCTCTGGGAGGGGAGCAGCAAGGCAGAAGAGGACATGCAAAAAGAGGATAGGAGAGCTCCCGGCTGAGCTTTTTCTTTTCTTTCGGTATTCCCGTCCACCACCACCACTAAACTCCCCAGTTGGAGATGCCGAGGGGGGCAGGCGGGGAAGGGAAGGTGCCCTATCTCCTATGGCCGCCTGCATCCGATTTTCCTCTTTGAGCGAGCTGCATCGTCATAGGGGAGAGCTGCATAATACGCTTCTTGATCAACTCCCGTCGCTCGCTGCCTTCCACCACCACCACAACAAAATGGGAGGGCCGCACTCGTGTATCTCGAAGGGAGAAAAAATGTGACGATCCCGCCATCACACCCTCTTCGATTCATCTCTCGGCGCTGAGGGAGGCAGGACATGGCGGTGGTTTTAGTTGGAGGAGCCACACATCCTTTTGAGTCCTAAACAGGCCTGTTCACACACACACACACACCATCACCATTGCGAAAGAAAAACGTACCGATTGCCGGCTGCACGGAGCCCTGCAATGGTGGGCTATCGACGGCAGCCAACTTATCTCTCACTTTTCTTCTCCTTGTCTGTCGTTCTATCCAGCCACCCAGGCCGCGGCATACAGCCCACGTGCTCTCGACAAGCCATGGGGGACCTACCGTTACCAAGAAGTAATTCTCCCACCTCCCCCTTTTGATAGTCGGAGGAGATCCGTCCATGGTCTGAGACAGGCGGCTGGAGAAGCCACATTCTGTCAAAGACCCATTTTGTTCGCTCTACGCTTGTACCACTATCTCCTGCCGGATTCCGTCATGCGGTCCCCTTGTCGAGTAGCTAGGGGCAGGGAGGCATTACAAGTGTCTGTTGTTCAGGTCGGGGTGGTCCGTGAAAAAATAAAAAAAATATGTGCAAATGCCAAGAACATGTATAACAAGAACGTATAAATTAGCACGCCAAGTATGATATAAATGCAGAAACACGTAAACACTGCCGTGTCAACCACTGCCTCATCGCCCACCAGTCCGTGCTATCCGTCATATCTCGGGCTCCACTAACAGTTCCAGCCACATCTGACGCCCGTCTCGCTTGCATGCATCGCAGAGAGAGCGTCGGGGTCCAGAGGACGGTTGAGGGCGTCCCGGAATCTCGGAAACGGGTGCCCTCGTGCGTCCCTGCCGGTCTTAGACCCGGGCTAGCAAAGCGGGCCGTGGTGGGCAGAGGACAATGGGCGGTGTGTGGTACCTGGCTTGAGACGGGTAGGTAGCAAGGCTGTATATAACCCGCCGGCCTTTTCGCTGCTATTAGAATGACCCTCCCTTTTTTCAGACCGCTGGTCGGTGTGCAGGGTCGTTACATTGTCTGTGTGGGTCCCGTGGCTGCAAAAAGAAAGGCCCTGGCGGTTGACCGGACGCGTAGGAACGAAGTCTTCACATAAAACCATAAGACTAAAAATACAACAAAAGGAACCCTTGCGAACCATACCCTGTACAGGGGAGGGCTCGGCACTATATGACGCCTGATACCATGATAACCAACTGTAGCGCCATGTGGTGGCCGTTGCCATGCAGTGACGAGACATGCATCATGCGACACAGCGGCCGCGCGCGCGCGCAAATAAAACAACAGGGAGCAGGCTCGCCGAGCTCGCAGTCCGGCATGAGCCGCCGTCTGGATCTACTCGGGGGCGAGGGGACTAGGAAAGCAAGCCAGCAGTTAGGATGCTGAGCCCTTTGGTCCAAGCGGTGGAGGGTCGGGTACGTTGACGAGATTTAGAGAGCCAAGTTGTACGAGTACTCATCCTCCATGTTCTGGCTGATCCAGAGAACCGCGGAGCTGCCGTGTGCCGAGCGCGTTAGCCTTGCCATCGATTGCGATGTACCATCTAGGCCGTTCGCCCACACATCAGGAGTCCCTCTTACCTCAATCCCACCAGGGCGTTGGCCACGACGTTCTCGACGCCCATGCCCATGTAGGGGAACTCGATGCCGGGCGCGACGTAGCCGAGGACGAAGACGCAGACGCCACCGGCCATGCCGCCGGCGAGGCAGGCGAAGCCTAGGAACAGCACGACGCGGGCCTTCCAGGCCACGCCCGACGAGGAGCCGCTATAGCCGAGGCTGTCGCTGCCCAGGCGCGACTTCTCGACGCTGTTGATGATGAGCATGCCCAGGCTCGAGAAGATGAAGGGCAGCCAGTCCACAAACGTGACGTGCACGTCGGACCCGTTCCGCCCCGACTTGGACCACACGGCCGCGTCCAGGAGCGTGTAGAAGGCGAGCGAGAACTGTCCGAGGGGGAGGGGAGAGAGGGCGGGCGGCGGGTTAGCCTGTGGACGGGTTTCGGGGAGACCGGATGAGGCAGGGGAAGGGGAGGCATACAAGTGCGCCCGAGGCGTAAACCCCGGCGTTACGCGCCCAAATGCTGTTCAGCCATTGCGGCTTGCGGAACTTCCAGAGGCGCTCCTCCTCCATGTCTGCAGCCGGTCGGGTCTAAAGTGGGTATTTAAATGCGCCTGATTTGTGATATCAACGTCGTCCGTGACGAGGAAAACGTCGGCCGAGGATGGGCGCGTCGAGGTCTCGGGTCGTCGAGGTCGTCAGTAGAAAAGGATGCAAGCCTCGCGGGCGAAGCGCGATCGATCGATCGTCGAGCCGGCTCGGAGAATAGAAAGCAGAACGAGAATCGCTTCGGGCCGTGTGTTTGGCGGCAGAGTCTGTTTGCTTCTGCCGTTTGGTGTGCGGGCGCGTCGGGTCGAAGGGGGTTGTTGCTGGGTGAGCTGGAGCCGCTCCAGGTCGCTGTGAGGCGGAGAACATGACGACGCTGGGCCGCCGCGCGTATCTTGGCCATCGTGTCGGAAGGCCACGTGGGATGGCACGTGATAATAATGGGGTCGGACGCTCCTCGCCATCAACCAGATGCTAGGATCATCCACATTCCTCAACAAAAGCATAGAGAATTTCTGGCAGCGAGAGGATATCATAAAGCAGACACTGTTCTCACATTACAATATCGGAAATAGGTGGCCATAGATCAAGTTGCGTCATAACCATTACTATCCTCACTGGTAGACAGGGGGCAAGGTGTCAGCGACACCAGCTCAGAGCCCCATCATCGAGCCCATCCTGATGTTCGCGCAGATATATACAGCTTTGACAAAAAAAAACCCACCCCAAGCTCAAACCGAAAGATTATTCGAAGGGATCGCGGCTCTCTGGTCATCTAACGCTGCCGAGGTCGAACCCCCTGTGATTGCCCAGCCTGATGTTTCGTTGCCACAAAAGAATGGGAATCCATGTAACTCGGCCGAGTTGCGAGGTTGAAGTGCGACCCGAGGAATAATGGTGGAATTATAAAAGAGCCACATGCAACAAAGTTGCTGTGAGTGCAGCACGGCCAACTTTTGGAGGGGGAGAAAAGGAGACAAAGACCAGATTCGCGTTGTTGTTACAGGCCCGGAAAATGCCAGAGCCTTGGCCTGGGTCCTTGGGTTCCCCCTGATGACCAGAGCAATGTCTCTGGCAATAGGGATCCTGTTGAGCCAGGCGAAATTTGATACATTTGACGAGCCCTCAAAACATGGTAATAAGAATGAGGCTTTCGTTGCCGAACGAAGGAGCCTGGGGAAATTCGAGACGCCGTCGCCTCTTAATGCTGCATGTATCGGACGTGGTGGGAGAAGACAAAAAACAAAGGAGTAAAAGATGATAATGATGAACGTGGGCATGAGAACCAGAAGGAAACGAGAAAATAAATAAAGGCATGGCAACGCTGGACTGTAAGTCGTAAGCTGCCGTAGAGGACGCCGTGAAACGCCGAAATGTCCAGTGCTCGTCTTCGTCTCTCAATAACATAACAATCCTCCTCCATCAGGCCCCCCGGAATTTTGCTCGCAAGGACACGCGAGGAGCCCACAAATTCGTAAACGCGTCATGTGACCGAATCTCTCTAGATTTCGATCGTCTTCATGGACTCCTCCAGTCCTGCCGGCTGCTTGCCGTTTGCCTTGGCTGATTTCCCATTGGCGTCGGAGGGCGAGGCCATCTTGTTGCTTTCGGCGGGAGAGCTGGGTGCTGTTGGTACCGAGGCCTTTCCGTTCATCAGGTTCGAGATCCTATCCGGGGTTCCAGTCCTGACCTCATCCTTGCTCACACTCGGCCGCGGAGTGTCAAGCTCGACTAGGTTCTCCTTGGGCTTGGTGCTAGGCGGGCTGGTAGGGGAGATGCCGAGTTCAGAGTCGGGCAGGGAAGTCTCTTCTGTAACCCTGGCCAGAGGGCTAGACTTTCCGTAACCAGGGCGGTTGGGGCTTGCAAGAGGGGACGTGACACTCAGGCGCTGAAGCGGCCTTCCTCGAGGCTCCGGGTTGGCATCGATCGGGCTAGTGTAGGGCGATCCGGGGGCAGTGGGTGAAGCGGCACCGACGGGAACGACGGACCTCCTCTTGGCACCAAGACGGCCATTCTTCTGGTCCGTTCTCCACCTCAGAATGTCAAAGTATGACGGCTCGACACGCGAAGTCTTGAACTCGCGCAGCTTTAGTTCTTTGGTATCTTCATCGACCCACCACTTTCCGCTGTTCAAGTCGTCGGCAACAACGGCGAGGAAATGGCCCCAGGAGCGGGCGACGACGTATTTGGTGTCGTAGTCGCGTCCGAACAGAATAACCTGACCCCAGGTACCAGCAGGGCCCGGAGCCAGATCGATTGCCAGGTTGTTGCCGCCCCAGTCACGGACAAGGGGAATCCAAGCGGGGTGTGCGTAGGCCTTTTGAATGGCGTTGGGAGGGATCGAGTCCTGACGGGCGAGAAGATCTTGCCGCCAGTTCGTCCGGCTGGGTGAAGACGACGCGCTGGAAGGACCGGCCCTTGACGAGGATGCATGGCTGCTGCTGCCACCGAGTGCTTTCGAGGGGATGGCGGGATTCACGATGTTGGTATCCATCAAGAACTCGTGGTTCACCTTCCTCCAGTTCTCCCACTCCTGCACTATCTCCTCGCAATCGAGCAGCATTGCGCTGAAGATAATGCCGGTAGGAATACCGCCGCGCTCTTGACCGTCGTGAATTGCCAGGGACTCGCGGACGTCCATCGGAAGCGAGCAATCCAGCTGGTGCTCCAGCTCGTTGAGATCGTTGTTGGTGCATCCCTCGCAGACCTGATCGAACAGTTCGGGGTAGTTTTCGTCTGCCCACCTGTCGATGCGCTTCCAGCTGTGGTGGACAGGAGGGGCGGGCGGCATACCGTCCTGGAAGGACTGCATGGGGATCTCTCCGACAGGACTGTTATTCTCGTAGCCATCTCCGTCCGACCTTCTAGCACTCTCGCCCCGGAGTCCGGGTGAGTATGGCCTGATGGGGCCGGGGCTCAGCGCGGGCGATAGGGCGCCATTATCGTATGCGGTTCCGCTCCTAGGGAAGCGTGCTATTTCATCGGCGAATGGGGACGAGAGGTCGGCTCGGGACTCGGAGGCGGTGGCAACAGATGTCAAGCCGCCCATCCCTCCTTGCCCAAGGGGGACGTGACGGCCCGTGCGATATGGCGAGTCGAAATTAGAGTCTGCGGGAGGATTTGCCGTGGTTAGCATGACGCTGAGACGGTTACGATGTCATGGGTTGGCGGAGGGGTGGTTTGCGCATACGTCGGTCATAGCTCGTCATCGAATGCCAAAAGGATTTGAAGACATTGCCAAGCCTGCAATGTTTGGTGTTTCTAGTCAGTAAGGTGTCGTCTCGGGAGCAGTCTTTGAGGAGACAATGATCCAAGTACGTACGATTCCGACATGGTGGGCGGTTGTTCTGGGCGAACAGGAGACGCGGAAGAGGGCTTGTTGACGTCGGGTCACCGGTCTTGTCGCTGTTGTTGGGCCGGTGGTTGGCTTTCTTGGCCTCCCGCGCGAGACGTGTTCAGGCAGCGGAGCAGCCGACAGAGGAGGCAGAGAAGAAGAAAAAATCCCTGGCGGTAAAATGAGCCGCCGACAGAGAAAAGCGACTATTATTAAATTCGGATCGAGTCCTGGCGTCGGCAGTGGGATCCCAGAGTCGCGCCGAGAAAGGGCGTCGTCGGATGGAGGGTTCAACGAAGGACGTAAACAGAAGGAAGCGGCCAACGAGAGCAACGAACGGGTCGGCGGCGCTATTGGACGTGTCAATGAAGCACGGAATTCCTGGCCCGAAACTGACTCTGTCGAGTGTCTGCTGGAGCCGTGGTGGCGAGCAAGAGGTCGAGGCAAAAAGGGAAAGAAGGACGAAGAAATTAAAGAGGGAGCGACCAAGGCATAGATGTCACAAGGAAAAAAAAATGCAAATGGAAATGCTCTCCCGTTTTTCCCCTGTCCAGAGAGGCGAGATCATAGGAGGAAGGGGGGTGCCGGGGTGGATTTGGAGATTGCTGCCAGAAGTGAATGGGCCAGTGGGAGCGACCCACTCTCTGCACGCTTTCGTGCTAGCGTACCAGTCCCAATTCCGGATGGGATGCCACTGCCGACCTGCGAATGGCGGTCGCCCGTTGCCAACCGCTGTACTAGCCACAGGCCACCCAGGGGGGATGTTCAGTGTGTTGCACCGCCTGGCGCCGCTGCTAGTCAGGGCGCAAAGTGGGGGCGAGCAGTGGCGTTCAGGGGCAGACGCAACCCACTTCGCCAGGCTAGCCCAACCGCCTGCAGAACCGCGATATGCAGTCGGATGACCCGGGCGCGATGGTCGAGTGTGTGCCCCGGTGTCGCTATGGGTGATGCGCTTTTGAGTGGAAGGGATTGGTTGGTGCGCCAGGTCGTAACTTGCTTTTTCTTGATTGCGTGAGTGTGCAAAGGGAACATGTCAAGACTTGCGTTCCCAAGAGACCGTTGATGTTTCAGCGGCGTCACGCCCGAGGAAACGAACTCGATTGATTGCTACCAACGCCCAACCAAACCTGCGGGATGCTACCAAGGCAAGCATGGCCTCCTAATACGTAGACTTTTGGGATTGACGCTCACCTCCAGGGCTGGCCACTCTCTCACCGCGCAATGCTGATGCTTGGACCATATCTGCCCCGAAACGCCCTGGTCCATTCGTCAATAATGCCCACCTCGCCTGGCCTCTTCTTTCGAGCCACCTTGTTTTGCCATGCCTTTCCTCTTTGGCCGACCCGCCGTGCTACAATCGACGTTACCTTGTATTTGCTGCCATCCCACCACACCCCTTTTTGCCTGTCATGCTGGCCCGCGGCACGTTGGCTGCGGGAGCCCGACTGTCCCTGTCGCCCCTTTCACATCTGCATCATTTCCCTCATGCACTGCGGCGGGCCCATAATTTCCTGGGTTGGGTCATCAGAACCCGCCCGCCTGGCGCAATGCACGGCACATTCCAGAAAGAAGGCAGGAAGGAAGGCAGAAGGCAGCAAGCAGCACGGACAGTCTTGGAATTCTAAATTTACCGCTTGATGACTGGCGGCGAAGGGGGGAAACCGGAAGTAGAGAACATGAAAACATGCACGGCGGGGCTGCTCGGGCTCTCCAGCCAAGCGAGGTGCCATCGGAAAACGGGAGCCAAGATGGGACTACGCTCGAAATCCCGCTCCCCAGTCGCGTTGGTGCTGGCGTTTCATGCCTGTCGACGTCAGGGCCAGGCGGCGGGTTTCCTTGGTTTAGACACGCTGCCCTCTGGCGCCGGTCCGCCGGTTTAGAGGCCGCATCCTGCAGCTCGGCAACGGTGGCTAGCAGGAGATGGCCGCTTTGATACTATCTGTGCGTGTATGCTTTCTTCGACTTGGACTCGCCATCTCTTGTCGGGCCGTTTTCCGTTTTGCGCTGCGCCAGCACTTTTCCTGAAAGGGGCCTTTTCGCCAGCAAGATTTCAACACCATGTCCTGTGCGTCCCCAGGAAACCTCTGTTTCTGTCCACAGAGCATCAGAAGGTAGCATCACCACATCGAGGTGTCGCGTGTCGCCACTTTGCGCAGGTTCTGCAACATGACGCTCCGCAGCATGCTGGAACCACCTCGCGCCGCGCGTGCTGATTCGCTAGCCCAGGAGGCAAACAAGCTACCGTTCAAGTGCCGTGTTTCGTGACTGGGGGAGCTAATGCCGCACGACCTGAAAAGCAATCATGAGAGCCCATTACCACACCCACGACCAAAGGATGGAGGGGGTCTTTTCAAGCTTCAGGCCATGTGCACGACCCCGCATTCACAGGCTGTGGGCGTCGCCGCCTCAAATGCGACCACCCTGGCACAGCAGGTCACTTGCGACCTACGTGGTGCGCCAGCCACACTTGGTCGCGTTCCGGGAAAGAACGTGTGTCGGATACATTGCGACATACGTCAACGACTTCCAAGGACACCGCCGTTGAGGTTTTGGTGTGGCTGGCCCTGAAGTACGGGGTCAAGCCGGGCCGGGCCGGGCCAGGGCCAGCCGTTGGTCGAAGTTGTTCAAGCTGAATGATTGGGCCTCGTCAGCCTTCGTCAAGGGTGGTGAGCTGATGACGGACTTGGCGTCCTGCGGAGACGACAAGACGGCACCCCCATGGGGAACCGAGCACATAGCAAAACATGCCTCGGGAGACAGCGGAAACGGCCTTGTGAAAGTGGTCTTGATTCGCTATGGATGGTAACGACACGCGGAAAGGTAATGCTTCCTACAAGATATGATAGCTCCTCGCTCAGTGCGACCAATGGAGACCGAGAGTCTCCATGAAATCCTCCAGTGCCTGGTCGTCCAAAAGCTTCGTGTCGCTGTCGACTCCTCCGATTCCCTCGACCCACTTCCCGCGCGGCCAGGGGTCCAGGTCGAACTGGATGTACTGCATCACATCCTTGCGCGCCGGCCTCAGCCCGACGCCGTACCGGGGCGTGGCTCCGCAGGGAAACTCGCACCTCCGGGGGCAGTAGGAGTAGCGGAAGCCGAAACGGCCGCACCGGACCTTGCGCGGCGGCGGCAGGTCGTAGCTGAGGAAGACGCCGTCGCCCCTGCGCGCGCGGGTCCCGCGGATCCCACCGGCGCCCTCGGGCGCCTGCGCGTCGCCCTTCCAGTCGCCACGCCCCATGGAGAAGACGCGCAGGCGGGAGCCGGCGAAGGCGTCGCGCCACCGCGGTAGGACGTCGTGCCAGCGGAGCTGGAAGGACAGGTCCTCCGTCTCGGGGTCCGACGGCGGCTGATACCACATACTGCCGCTGTGGGGGTTCTTGATGCGCGCGTGCCATATAATTGGGCAGTCGTCCAGATAGAGCTCCTCGAGCCCGGCGGCCGGGGTGGTGCTGTTGGTGGCGGCTGCGAGCCCGGCGATCCAGTCGACTTGCCAGTCGTGCGCGAAGACGTGCCTTCCGAGGGCTAGCACGCGCAGGTTCGGGAGCCCGCCGCCGGAGGGGTTGATGGCCCGGAAATTCATCACGGGACACCAACCCCAATAGTGGGCGTCGTAAAGCGAAAGCACTCGCAGGTTCTGGGCCACAGCGGGGGACAGCCATGCTAAGGGAATGCGGCTGTAGAAGTGATGGTTTTCCGGCTGCAAGAAATGAACCCTGGGCATGATTTCACCGCCGCGCCTCTCATAGCCCGCGCGTGTGACGAGAAGCTTGAGTGAGCGGAATGATGGGGCGGCCAGGATGGTTCGAAGGGCACCCGGGTCGATCAAATGGGCGTCGTAGGGGGAAAGGTTGGCAATGGTGAGCCCTTCCAGCCCAATTGGACGAGGATCCGTGTTGGGGAACTTTGGGTGCCCAGGCTGGGGGTACAGCTTGTCAGGGTCGAAAAGGGGACTGGTACGATTGACAGGTGTCTTGTCGGTGTAGGCCCCCGATAGTGCGTTGATGGCGATATGGAGCACTTGGAGGCGGAACTTGGTGCTCTCCCTGCTGTTGTGGACATGGAAAAGGTGGTGGTGAGACACCAGTTCGCGCTGGACGATCTTGTTGAAGCGGACGTTCAGGGTCCGTAGATTGCGAAAACAAGCCAGTCGAGGCAGGACCCGGAGGAACGGTCTCTGGCCGCAATAGTTGGACGCCTCATAGCCCTCGAAGGCATCCAAAGTGACTTCGTGGACGAGACCACGGAGGTGCTCCGCTTCGCTGATCTGCCTGAAGGACTCGATGTGCGGAGGTGTACCGACGACGTCTGGGTGATGCCATAGATTCCGTATTGAGCGGAGCTCGACATGGCGGAATGCGATCTCAGTCGCGCGAGACAGGAAGCCGCGGCACACTAAGCGACAGGCAAGGACTGCCTCCTTTGGCAACTGGAGGAGGACGAGATCCTGAACCTCGACCGGCAATCTGTGCATCGATGCCCTGTCGCGGCTCCTGGTGGTTCGCATGCTGGCGTGGGGGTCGGGTGCTGTCTAGATTGGTGAAAGGCAGTGTCTGGTGTGCAGACCCAGAAGCCGCCCTTCTAATCTGAAGGGGCACTAATTTATATGTGGCAAAAGACCAAAGGCTGTGTATAACATACTTTTTGACACCTATACATTGAAGAGCTTGCGTGCGTGTAGATGCAGTAAATGGCATCTGGCTTGTCAAGACTATTAGTTTGGCTAACAAGCGGGTTGGCTAACAAGCAGGTTGGCTAACAAGCGGTTTGGCTAACAAGCAAAACAGTGGCATCAACACACGGCGCAGCTGTTGCCTGCTCTCTCCCCCAAACACAGTTCCGAGGGTTGAATCAAACAGCAAAATTTCCTGGCATACTCCCGTAGCAACAACAGTCACAATAATTTCTATGAGGAGTGCATGTAAAAAGCATGAGTGGCTCACGTGTTTGGGTGTTTGGTGTTTGAGGCTGTCGCAGAGCCACATGGAGAGATCACGTTGTGGTTTAGCGGCTGAGAGTGGATTCTTTTTCGTGTTGCATGCGTCGTGGAATTTGCTTTTGTTTGGGGCCTGGCAACGCAACCAACCATCAGACACAGCAAACACCGCCCTTGACCTGCCTAATATCCACCACGCCCATCCCTGTGTCCGACATCAATCCCGCGACGCATGCTAACCCGACCACCTCTGCGCTTCCACCCCAAACCGACCCTGGTGCTGCAAAGGAAGCCGCCACCAACAGTCAGAACCATGGCATCTGAATCCCGGCCCCGGTCCCGGTCCCGGTCGCCGACGCGGACCCAGTTCGCGGTGCACCCCATCGCCCGGTTCGCGGGGGAGAGCCAGCCGGTGCGGCGGCCAAAGGAGTTTGCGTGCTTCTCCTACGACCCCAACCACGAATTCCGCCTCGACGGCAGCTCCATGAAGTGGTACTACCCGCCGCGGCTGGGCGCCGACCTGTCCGGGGGCTTCGGGACCTTTGACAAGCTCGACGACGCCGCCACCGACGAGCACATCGACAGCCTGCTCAAGACCATCATGGCCCATGAGCAGAGCACGGGCCAGAAGATCGACGCCCAGATCGTCACCTGGCGCGGCATCATGACCAAGGTATGGCTGAGCCCGGCCCATCTTTATTTTCATCCCGCGTTTGGGACGTCCTGTGATGTGATTGCGCCGAGAAAGGCGATGAGTGCTGACACAAGTGATTGTGCGTACAGCTCATGTCTGCCCCCTATGAGAATGAGGACGGGTAGGACTCCAATCTCAATAGGAATCTCATTCCCTACGCTTGTCGAGATTTGAATGCAAGCTAAAACATGTCGCCGTCCGTGTCATCAAAGATTCGACCTGAATGCGACTTTATACCAGGTAGGAGGACTAGTAGAGTGACATCCCAGTGCACTTTGACAAGTAAAACTGACAACATTTACGCCAATTGTCAGGGCTGCGTGTAAGCACTCCCTAACCCTGGGGAAACATTGCATGGCGTGGCGTGAAACTGACCCAACTTCCTTCGCGCAGTTTCATCGAGGAGGATTTCAAATGCAGAATGGACGCTAGACGGGCCCAAGATGCACAGCCTTGGAAAGCCCCCATTCCCCGAGAGATGTACACATATTGGGGTATGTGGGCATGTGTTGTCTGATCTGAGGTCTGGGGAAACGACGCTCCGACCATTTCTGACTGGGCCGTTCCGCTGGCAGGCTACAAGTTCGAGACCCTCGCGACATTGCCCAAGCCGTGGGGCGAGATATCTCGCGACTACATCGAAGGCCGCGAGAGCCAGCAGGTGAGCAACAAGGAGCAATACTGCTCCGTTGTACGCACCGGCCTCGGCAAGACGACACTATGCCTGGGCGGCGAGGTAGACGCGAGTGAGTACCAGTCCTTTCTTGACATGGAAACTCGACAGGGCCGACGGGCTAAAATCACACAACAACAACAAAAAAAGTCTGGGACTCCAAGCCCGAGCACGGCCAGCCCATCAACTGGGTCGAGCTCAAAACGACGGCCGAGGTGCGCAACGAGCGCGACGCCATGAGGCAGGACGGCAAGCTGCTCAAGTGGTGGATCCAGAGCTTCATGCTGGGCGTGCCCAAGATCATCGTCGGCCACCGCTCGCGCAACGGCATCCTGGTCCGCGTCGAGGAGATGCAAACTGCCGAGATCCCGAACCTGGTGCAGAGCCGGAGCAAGGGCCGCAGCTGGGACGGCAACACGTGCATCAACTTTTGCTCGGCGGTTCTTGAATGTGAGTGGTTTTGTTGGTAGCCGGTGCATGTCTATTGCAACTTGGCTCACCAAGTGCATGTCGACTGCAAAAAAAAAACCCCCCAGGGATCCGCGCAAGCGTGGATGACGACGGCGTCTATCGCATACGGCGCGAGCCCAGGTCCAACAGCATCGGGCTGTTCAAGGTCGAGCAGACGGGCCACGGCAAGATCCTGACGGACGAGTTTATCAACTGGAGGATAAAGCTTTCGTTGCCTCCTCCGCCTGACGCTGGAGAAAGCGGCGGGGAGGCCAACGGTAAATGAAAATGGGACGAGGAACAGAGGCGTACAGAGTTGATTTGGTTTACAATACACCCAAGGAACGGTTGTATGAGTCTCGTACGGTGTGGGATTTGGGATTTGGGATTTGGGATTTGCGGCGGTTTTTGTTTTTGTGCCCACCCATTCTCTGATCATGAGGGAGGCACTAGGGGCAATTTGAGTGATGAGCCGGGCGAGCTAAAGCAGACTCGGATATTTGGACATGGAAGCACATGAGCAGGTATGCCGTGAGGAAAATGCTGGCC